CATTCCTGGGAAATGTATTCTGCGGATACAACCACTTTCCCTAACAGCCCTTGACAAGGGTGCCTGGGCCCACAGTGCGTTCCCACTCCCCCATTAGAGCCCACAGCCTGGGCATGTGCAACCCAGTCCCTGACTGGGAATCAAACCCTGACCTCCTGGTTCAACTACCACTGAGTCATGCCGACGGGCAAGAGAGACTGTTCTTTCCAGCCCTGTTACCCTCATTGATTTCCTTGCCTCTCTTCTGGCCCCTGCGATCCCTGGATACAATGTGCCTGCGGCCCCCTCCTGTTCTGTGTCTCTCCGGGCGGGCGAGGTGCTTCGCACTTAGTCACATGTGCCCCTGCCGCTCCAGGGCCAGCCTGCGCTGTGCTGCACACACTGGCAGGAGGCGGGAGGCAGGGAGGTGGGGAGGGGAGGGAGCCTGGGTCCATAGGGGGCCTAGACATGGAAGACTGCAGTGTATTGATCTCAAATGCCTGTGTGTGAGGATCCCGTGCACTGTGCTGGGCTTCTGGCTATAGGGCTTTAAAAATGTCCTCGCGCCCTGGCCGGGTTGCTAAGTGGTTAGAGCGTCGGCCCTCAGACTGAAGAGATCACCGGTCAATTCACTGAAGGGCAGGGCACATCAGGCTCGATCCCTGGCCCTGGTTGAGGCCTATCTGGGAGGCAGCCAATCGATGTGTCTCTCTCACATCGATGTTTCTCTCTCGCTCTCTTTACTCCCCCCTTCCCTTTCACACTCTCTAAAAATCATTAGTAGTCACAGTAGCAATCAAGAAGAGCTCTGCTGATTAAGTCTTTGCTGCCCACAGCTGGTGCAGAGAGCACTCTGTCCCCTGAAGGCACAGAGGAGACACTAGACCAGGTGTCGGCAGCCTACGGCTCCAGAGCCGCATGCGGCTCTTTTGAAGCTTTACCGCAGCTCCGACAACTTGCAAGCCTGTGTGAAAAGGAAGGTAACGTCTTACAGCCCTGATGTGCTGACACTGTGCACTGAGGTTCAGGAGCAAAAATCCCATTAACCAGATAAATTAAATATTTTAATTAGCTATTAATTTGCAAAAATATATTTTACATTGTTAAGTGAAAAAGTCCTTTTTTTTCTTCAGATTGACAGCTAACTGCACGATCCAGTATAGAGCATTAAGGTAAGAAACTATATGCAGTGTTATATTTGTTTTAAATGTCGCAATGGTTTTGCGGCTCCCAGGTTTTTCTTTCCTTCAGAAATGGGTCCAAGTGGCTCTTTATGTCTTAAAGGTTGCAGACCCCTGCACGAGACTGTGAGCAGGCAGGCACTCTGGGGGCCTCGGAGCACCTGTTTCCTTGCACAGAGTTAGGAACGGAGGCCCAGAGAAGGAAGGGAGGGGCCCAACGTCACACAGCAGGTTGGGGGATAGAGCCCAGGTCCCTGACAAGGAGCCCGAACTCTCCACACCACCCAGCGCAGCCCACGAGCTGGCTCAGTCGGTGAGGATTTAGCACAAGGCTCAGGTGCAGAGGAAACGGATGCGGGACAGCTGAGCCCCACCCTCTCCTAAGGCGGCTCCTACCCCGTTGTGGGAGCCCCCATCAGAAAGCAGCCAACTCTGGGCTAAATCAGAGTCTGCTTCCTGGAGGAAGCGGCGGTAACTGAAGTGGGCCCTGAGGAACCAGCAGGAAGAGGAGGGGAGAGGGTATCCGGATGAGCAGCCCCCATGCTGGGATTCAGGGCCGGGTTTGTGAGCTGTCCCAGGCCGCTTGGAAACGACAAGATCCAGGGAAGACGAGGGACAGCACCCGGAGGGAAAGAGGGGTGGGGCCACGGGGAAAGAGGATCAGCGGTTGGACGAGCAGCTGCCCCGCCTCGCTCTCAGGCAGAAGCCTCCGGAGCCACTGAGGCTGCCACCAGCCCTACGTGCCGATGGACATGGTCCCTGCCTCCAGCCCCAGCTCTCGTAGGGCGACGCCAGGTGCACTTCCTGTAAACAGCCTCTGATGACCGGCCTGGGAGGTCAGGGAGGGGCCTGGGTCTGGCTCTGTCAGGGAACCAGCAGGGAGGAGTCACCCATGCTCCAGATGGAAACACTGAGGTGCAGTCTGGCAGAAGCCAGGCGGCGCCATAGCCAAGGCCAATGGAGACGCTGCAGCTTCGAGGGCAGGGGGTGGAGCCGTGGTGGGGGTTGGAAACTCAGGGCCCATGCCTGTCCCAGCCCTGACCTCGTTCCTGAGCAGGGCTGGTTCCCATCAGCCTCTGTCCCCTCGGGGTCACAGGGCCAGGCTGAGGCCCGGCTGCTGGCGTCACTGGTGGGGCATTGGGTTCCCACCTGGCTACCCTTTCCTCACCTCGCTCAGTCCCCTGGGGGGGGCCGGTTATCCCGGCTGCCCTGCCATCTGCCCCCGGGGCAATCAATCCAGCCGGGCAGGCCTGCCACCCTCCTGTGCGGAGAGTTTAAAAGGAGGAGGTCCGGGGAGCCACTGGTTCAGTGGACCCTGGAGCGAGCCGGGCGCAGGGAACATGGGTGGATGCCACACACCGCACTGGGCCCTCCTGCTGCTGCTCTGCGGCTCCTGCACTTCCAGCCTCCCCGTGGACACGGGCGCCTTCCGACGGTAACCCGGGCGGGAGAGGGCGGCAGGGGCGAGGGGCTCCCTCCTTCCTAACACTCCCGGCTTTCAGATACGTGATGCCAGCCAGCCCTCACCGCCAGCTGGGCATGGAGGCACAGAAAGGCCAGGGGACTGGCCCGTGGTCACACAGCCGCAGCGGCCGGGAAGCTGGGGGATGAGAAGCTGGGGGTGTCCCAGCAGCTTGTGCCGGGGTGTAGCCTCCGCCCCAGTACAGGCAGAGAGAAGTAAAAACATCCTCCCTTCTTCTCTTCAAAAAGAGAAGAGGGATGGGCCAGCAGTGGAGAAGGAGCTGGGAACACAGCTGTACGGGTTGTGCTGCTGGGAGGGGCCCGCAGTGAACTTAGGATCCATGCTCAGGGTGCCTTGCAGCCCTTTGCATACACATTGACCTTCACTGAGCAGTGTGCGGGTCATGCAGTTTGTGCAGTGACTCTCTGAGGTAGGTATTACCATTCGGTAACCTCCTTTTTTTTTTTTCTGTGTGGGGTAAAATTTTTTTAAATATATATATATTTTATTGATTTTTTACAGAGAGGAAGAGAGAGAACTAGAGAGTTAGAAACATCGATGAGAGAGAATCATCTCTCAGTTGCCTCCTGCACACTCCCTTACTGAGGATGTGCCCACAACCAAGGTACATGCCCTTGACTGGAATCGAACCTGGGACCTTTCAGTCCGCAGGCTGACGCTCTATCCACTGAGCCAAACCGGTTTTGGCTGTGTGAGGTAAAATTTTATCTAAGGCTTGCTTCCCCCCCGCCCCCCCCCTTACCATTTATCCTCTCTATGCTGGAGTCACCACGCTGTTATCCTTATCCATGAGTTCTCTCTCTCACTCTCTCTCTCTCTCTCTCTCTCTTTTCCTCTCTCTCTTTTTTGCTTAACTCGCCGCCCCCTCCCTCACCGAGCTATCTGCCTATCTCTATCTATGAGTCTGTCTCTGTTTTGCTTAGTCATTCAGATTGTCCATTAGATCCCACTTATGAGTGAAAGCATATGGTACTTGTCTTCCTCTGACTGGCTTATTTCACTTAGCATCGTGCTCTCCAGGTCCCTCCATGCTGTCGCAAACGGGCAACATTTTCTTCCTCTTTATGACCAAGTAGTATTCCATGGGGTACATGTGCCACAGCTGTTTTATCCGCTCACCCACGGATGGACACTTGAGCTGTTTCTAAATCTTGGCTGTTGTAAATAACGCTGCAATGAACATGGGGGTGCATATATTCTTTTGAATTAGTGTTAAGTCCATTTTTAGAGAGGAATTCTTGGGGGCTCACAGAGGCCCAGAGAGGTTAGGTAAGTTGCTCAGAATTACACAGGGAGTGAGGGGGTCAAGCCTGTCGCTGCCACCACTGTGCCCTCACCAGCCAGCAGCAGCTGTGGTGGTGGCTGTGGGCATCGGGGAGCACAGAGAAGGAGCCTAAGCCGAGGCAAGGCCAGTGGGAAGTTCACGGGCATGTGTCCTGGCAGAGGTGGTAAATGCTAAGCTTGGAAGAATGAAAGAAAGAGGGGTGGGAGGTGGAGAAAGGGATTTTCTGAAAGAAGAACGGTGAAAGGGAAGGGCCAGAGCAGAGGCTGTTCAGAGTAAATAGTGGAAAAATGCCCCCTTTTTGGGGTCAAGCCTTCCCTGCCCCTCCATTTCCCCATCTGTAAAATGGGAATAATAAAATTACCACCTTGTGGGATGCCTGAGAATCGAATAAGACCCTAATGGCACAAATACTTTTCGAATCATAAGCTGTGATGGCTGACAAGTCACTGACAGGCACAGGAGATGTGACTTCCACGTGGAATATGAAAGTGGCATCCCTACTCGTGGGCATGCTGGGGTGCAGACAGTGGGGGCAGACTGCACGTACAGGAGGACTGGCAGCTGGAAGAGGGCTTCTCCACAAACTGGGCTGCAATCCTGGGACCTCCACCTTCCCCACCAACAGCCAGGGACATCTGCCTTCAGGCTTCTGCCAACAGCCTTCATGTCAGAGTCCGGGGGCTGGAGGCGGGGGGTATATAGGAATTAGGGCCAGACACACCGCCTCACCTCATCCCTGTGAGCCTCCGTGCCCTCCTCATAAAGGGAGGACAGCCCTAGCGTGGCGTTGTCCTGCCGGTTACATGGGGCGTGGCAGCTTGCTCTGCTGGGAGTTCTTCAGGTCTCGGATGCTGCCTCCCACAGGTGGAAGGAAGGCCTCAGGGCAAGATGAGGCTCAGGAAGGCACACTTTCCAAAGACAGCATGCACAGGTCCCCAACTCAGTGGGCTTCCTCCATCCTCCAGCCCCAGGCACCTGGAGCCCCTCAGGGGGCTGTGGGTGTCTGCTGCCACCTACAGGCCGCACGAGGAACTGCCTCTTCCTGCCCTGCTATCGGCGCACTCCCAACCTTCCTCTAGTTTGAAGGAATGCCATTGTGTTTCCCTGTCTCCCCTGTCGGAGCTCCTCAAAGGCAGCAATGGCCTTCATCTTCATACTAGAGGCCTGATGCATGAAATTCGTGCAAGGGGCTCAGCCCTCGCAGCCCCAGCTTCATCCAGAAGGTCATCGGGAAGGTTGTTCGGCTGTCCCGTCTAATCAGCATATTATGCTTTTATTATTATAGAGAGATCTCTAATCTCCTCCAGAGGAGGCTTAAACATGTGATTATGGAATGAATGAGTGAATGAACGAACGAATGGATCAAAGTTAGACAGCAGGAGGAAGGTAGTTGAGGGTCATTTAATACTAGTGCAGGAGCTCACTGAGGTTGCTAAATCCTCCGCCAGAGGCCCACGGGCACAAGAGTGATTCTTAGTTGCCTGGGCCAAGGCTCAGGGTGAGGGTCCTAGGTGCGCCAGGGACTCTCCTGTAGTTGTGGAGGAGACACAGAGCTCTCCTCTTCTCCTGTCTTCGCTCTGGGCCAGGATCTTCCTGAAGAAAATGCCCTCCATCCGGGAAAGCCTGAAGGAGCGCGGTGTGGAAGTGTCCAGGCTCCGGGCGGCAGGGAGCCAGCCCTCCGGGAGGTCGCTCCTCACCAACAGCACTGCCCCCGTGGTCCTCACCAACTACCTGGACGTGAGTGCCCGCCAGCGCCTCCCCGCTCCTTCTGCTCCTGGGCCTGAGGCTTCCACCGAGTTGCTGAGGAGCAAGCACTCAGCATCCCACCACATCCCCATTTCACAGCCGGGAAGCCCGAGGCTCGGAGGCAGGGGAGAGCCGGGCGGCAGGGTGGGTTTGGGACTCGGAATTTGGGGCCTCAGGCCCAGACGCGCTGGGGGCAGTTCTGTGTTGATGCAGGTGCTTGCGATCGCACAAACCACTGCTTCCCGTGGTTCCTCAAGGGGCGGGGGGCTTCCAACTTCCTTTTCGGTATTTGAATTTTGCCTCTTGCCTCACTTCCTGGGAAGTCCTATGACAGCGCTGAGCCTCCCAGTCCAAGCCCTGCTGGAAAATGGAAGTCCACAGAGACTGTGTGATCTGCCTACTCTCACCCCAAATGCCAAGGAGGGGAACCAAGGGAAATCCCAAAGTCCAAGGCTCCCCAAGTCTCTCCAGCTACCTCCTCCTTTCACCCCCACAGACCCAGTACTATGGCGAGATCGGCATTGGCACCCCTCCCCAGACCTTCAAAGTCATCTTTGACACGGGATCGGCCAACCTCTGGGTGCCCTCCACCAAGTGCAGCCCCCTCTACACAGCCTGTCGTGAGCACCAGCCCCCCGCCCCCTGCATGCCTGGGCAATCCTGCCTCGTGCCCAGCTAAACCCCTCCTGCTCTCATTGGCGCTATTCCTTTCCTTCCTCTGCTCCCACTGCCCCTGAAAGGAGAGGGAAATGTCCTGAGGGGCCATCACGGTAAAAGGACAAGCTTTGGGAGACACCCCCACCCCACCCCCACTCCCAGCCTCTCACCCTTCCGGAGACTGAGAGCGGACTGGATGCTCAGACACGCAGGCTTTGGGGCTCTTCCATCACTTTCCTTAGCCCGGTGGTCGGCAAACTGCGGCTCTCGAGCCGCAGTTTGCCGCTCTGTTGATGAATGAGTTTGCCAATCACTGACCTAGACTCTCAATTCCAATAATTACAGGCTGTTGTTGTTCCTTGTGATTAAGCCCCTATCCAGTGGTCGGCATGTCTCTTGAGCCACAGTTTGCCGACCACTGCTGTGGGAACCCTTAACACGACCCGTGTGATGAGGGCCCACTCAGGGTCCGGTTTCTGGAGGAGGCCACACACTAAAATGAAGAGAGGGACTAGAAAAGAGTTAATTTGGGACAAATGGGGGACCAGGCGGGAGTCAACCTCTAGTGGGAAGACTCTCTAGGCTCTGACCTTGCTGTCCCTTTTATTGAGGCTGTGGGATACACCCAGTACCCTTAAGCAGCTTTGGGAAACACCCATAGCCCTTAGGCTGGTAATAAGTGGATTATCATACCAGTAAGGATTTACATGATTACAAGATGGGGAAGCTGCCTCAGTTACTATTGTCTCAATTAGATAGGGTGTGGTTGGCTCTGACCTTTCAGAGCTTCAAGGTTGACCAGCCTCTTTCTATTAGTGAGACAATGATTGGTTTCCGGCACACTGCCTTAGCCAACAACTTCCTGTGGAGTGCTGCCTGGAACCAGAATCTTCTCCTCACCCCGGGGTTAGCGCTCACTTTATCGTGCTTCGTCTGAGACAAAATTCTCAGAGGCCTGGGCACCTAACGGGGCCCCAAGGAACACAGTCCTCGGTTGATGAAACACATCTTTCCAAACCTCTGGCCGACCTCAGGACCACCCCATCCCTGCCCCTACGTCCTCAAGCACACAGGCCATGTCCCTGGGCACCTGCCACCAGGCCCCCTGCCAGGACCGCCCTCTCGGGGACACACTGAGCCCATGTCCCTCTTCCAGAGATTCACAGCCTCTACAACTCCCTGGAGTCCTCCACCTACATGGAGAACGGGACAGAGTTCACCATCCGCTACGGGACCGGGAAAGTCAACGGCTTCCTGAGCCAGGACACGGTGACCGTAAGCAAGACCCGCCCGGGTCATCCGACCTCCTGCCCGTCTTGTCCCCAGACGTTCCTGCCACTCTAGGGCCTGTACTCGGGAGAGGTGCCACCCAGCTCCCCCTGTGGTCTGAGAACAGCTCTGCCGCTGGACAGAGCGAGCCCCCGCTGCCCCTCAGCGCGGGTGATTCTTGCAGGCTGTGCGTCTGACTCACACGCAGGGCTTGTCTGAGCCCCACAGCCTGCGGTCCAGTGACCTGCCCCAGGGGGTCGCGCCCTGACTGAGTCCCTCCCCAGACTCTAGACGCATGGTCGGCAAACTGCGGCTCTCGAGCCACAGGCGGCTCTTTGGCCCCTTGAGTGCGGCTCTTCCACAAAATACCACGGCCTGGGTGAGTCTGTTTTGAAGAAGTGGCGTCAGAAGAAGTTGTTTAAAAAATGTTGGCTCTCCAAAGACATTTCCATCGTTGTACTGTTGATATTTGGCTCTGTGGACTAATGAGTTTGCTGACTTACGGCCCTAGACCGAGGTCAGCGTCAGGGGCCACCGTACAGTGGACGTTGCGGGCAGGGTTAGTCTGGGGGCCCGGGAGGGCCATAATTAAGGTTAGCGTTTAGGATTAGGGTCAGGGCCTGGTTTGCCTTTCCATTTGGCCTGTGTCCCACCCCTTCCCCATCCCTGGGCTTGCCCAGCCCCTGCTGGCTCAGGGTTGGAGGAGGACTACTTGTGGGACCTGAGAGACCGCGTGCGCCCGCCCCCTGCCCTTGTCTGTGAGGTCGGGGGAGGAGCGGGAGGCAGGCCTGGCTGTGCTGAAGCAGCTCTCTGCCCACGATGGGGGTGGGCACTGAGCCAGTGCTGCCAAAAGAAAAGCGGGCACTGGGGAGGGGGTGTGGGAGCTCCTGGCAGCTTTCCTACTACTGCTGGGCAGGACCATCCTCTCAGCCTCTGCCTCTCTCCTCACTGGCAACCCCAGGTCTCTGGAGACCCAACAGCCTAGAGCAGTGGTTCTCAACCTTTCATACAGTTCCTCATGTTGTGGAGACCCCAACGATAAACTATTTTCCTTGCTACTTCCTAACTGTCATTTTGCTGCTGTTATGAATCGTAATGTAAGTATCTGATATGCGGGATGTCTTAGGCGACCCCTGTGAAAGGGTCGTTCGACCCCCAAAGGGGTTGTAACCCACAGGTTGGAACCGCTGGCCTGGATGCATTAGAAGAGAGGACGTTGTAGTTGAGGGGGGGAGGGTGTCGAAAGGTCTCACCCCAGAACCTGTGCAGCCCCGAGCTCCTTTCCGCCCCCCCCCAACCCCCGTGTGGAAGCCAGACTAGACCCTGGCGGGTGGGCAGTGGCGTGGTCTCCTCTGGTCCTTCCTCCCACAGGTGGGCGGGATCACGGTGATGCAGACGTTCGGAGAGGTCACGGAGCTGCCCGTCATCCCCTTCATGCTGGCCAAGTTTGACGGGATCCTGGGCATGGGCTTCCCCGCACAGGCCGTGGCTGGGGTCACTCCCGTCTTCGACCACATCCTCTCGCAGCGGGTGCTGAAGGAGGACGTTTTTTCCGTCTACTACAGCAGGTGGGCCTGGCCTGGGCGGGGGCGGGGCTGGAGGGTAAGAGGTGAGGTGGGGGCTGGAGGGTAAGAGAAGAGGACTTTGATGTTGGGGATCAGGTGGTATCCAATCATTCAATCCATAGCTACAGCTGCACTACCCAACAGGGAAGCCGCCTCTCAAATTTACATAAATTAAAATAAAATTAGACACTCAGTTCCGCAGTGGAACTAGCCACATCACAGGCGCTCAGCAGCCACAGTGGCTACTAGCTACCGTGTTGGATAGTACAAACCTAGAGCATTCCCTCATCGCAGAGAGTTCTGTCAGCACTGCTGGGGGACAAGAGAACATGGGGTGATGGGAGGCAAGCATTGCTGTGGCCTGGGGCCTTCCCTGCAAGGGCCATGTTCCTCCCACACAGAGAGAGTGGACATCATTCAATCATTCATTCGTTCATTTGCATATTCAATGATTCAATAAATACTGGGCCCTTCTGCGCCAAGCCCTGTGTGAGGTGCTGAGGCTGCAGCCAGGAACACAGTGTGCCAGACAGAGTCCTGCCCTCACCGAGCCGGCAGTCTGGCAGGAGGACACGGAACGTGACAGCAGGCGGTCCGGGGCTGGCACCGGAGGGCCTTCCAGCTCCGGGCTGAGCCCTGTGCAGGTCTGTGGGCCTTGGGAGGGCCACTGTCTGCTGTTGAGCACGTTCGTGATCTGCTCCAAGCTGTCGGGTTCAGAGAAATGGCCTGAGTGAGAGACAGGATCCTAAGGGCAGGAACACGGGGCCAGTGGCAGGGAGCATGGAGGAGAGGGTCAGACTCCAGAGAAGCCTCGGGTATAAGGAAGAGGAGCGTCAGGTTGGGTGCGAGGGAAACACTGCGGAGAGGCTGCGCCGGTTGTCTCTGCAGCCAAAGGCGCCTTGGGAGGGGCTGGATCAGAGGTGAGCGAGGCCAGGTGGCAGGGAGTTAGCAGGCGAACACGGTGCGAGGAAACGAAGGGCAGGTGTCAGCCCCGAGAAATCCACAGGGAAGGACTGTCAGGTGCGGGTGCAGGCAGCGGTGAAGGGAGCAGAGAAAAGAAGGCTGGGTGTTTTTAAACGCGAGAGCGTGTCTGAGCAAGCCTGCAGGTGGAGGGAAGGCCTTGGACAGCAAGAGACTGAACATCTGGGGCAGGGATGATAGTGGAGGGCACAGGAGACCATGGAAGGGAGGGGGACCCAGCAACCGGAGGGCACATCGGAGAATCTTGAAGTGTCGGGAGAGGAGAGGAGGGAATGTATGCCAGCCCACACGCATGCTGACTAGAATTGTAAAAATGCAATGAATTGCGCTTGTGCAGACAGGATGTGCAGAGCTACATAACTGGGTACACATGAGCATGTACACATGTCTCCTGTTAGGAATGCTGGAAGCACCATTCCCCCCTTCCCCACCCCCCTCTCTCTCTCTCTCTCACACACACACACACACACACACACACACACACACACACACACACACACGGGAAACCAGCCCTAAGGCGGGCTCGGTGGGAGGCAGTGTGGAGAAGAGGAAGAGGAGGGGGTCAGCTTCAGACTGGGCCCCAGCAGCCCTGACTCCAGTCCCCCAGTAGCCCCCCCCCCCATGCCTAGATGCCCTCAGGCAAGTAGCTTCACCTCTTGGTGACACCCTTTCCTGAGAAAAGTGCATCAGCATTGGCTAGTGAGGGACTCTGAAACAAAGGCTTCCTTCTGCTGTCTCTTTCTCTGCAGGAATTCCAAGTAAGGAGAGGATATCCCGCCCCCGTCCCGCCCCCACCCCCACCCCCACCTGACCCTGACTCTGACCTTCCACCTGCCCAAAACTCACCTCACAGGCCCAGGCTCTGCTGGACACTGATGTACTCTCCCTGCTTCCTGCTCTCCTCCTGCCCCTGCCCCCCACCCACACCCTACAGCTCCCCAGGTCCCTCCCGTGCACCTCTTCAGCCCACAGCAGCCCAAACCCAAGTGCAGGTGGGGCCAGGTGTGTCTTGTTTGCATTCTTGTCGGTCCTGGTGCCCGTTCTTTTTTGGGACCACGACGGAGATGCTTTATTGGTGCAGTGGGACCATCCTCCGGCACCGAGGTTGGGCGGGGGGGGGGGGGTGAAGGGGGGGGCCGGGAAGGTGGAGAAGCGTGCTGCAGTTTCCCAGCCTGGCCCCCTGCCTTCCTGGGCCCCATCGCCCCCGCACCCCTACCCCGGGCCCATTTCCCTTGTCGCTGGGGTCACCGGTCTCCAAGAACTTCTGATCTTTCCTTTAGGAATTCCCTCTTGCAGGGGGGAGAGATTGTGCTCGGAGGCAGTGACCCCCAGTATTACCAAGGGAGTTTCCACTACGTGAGCATCAGCAAGCCCGGCTTCTGGCAGATCAAGATGAAAGGGTCAGATATACTCAACCCTGCCCGTTCCCCCCAAATGCTGCTGCTGCTGCTGCTGAGTGGGGTGGGGAAGGGGCGAGGCTGCCATCCTGCCCTCGCTCCAATGCAGCTACCTCCTAAGGCACAGCCAGCCTTTGCTCTCTGCCTGCTCTGTTCGGGAACGCGGACCGGTGAAATGTGAGGGGCAGTAGGGAGGGGGCTACCGAGAGGAGGTGGGGGTCACTAAGCACATGCCCAGAGTGGGCAGCCCCTTTCCTCCTCCAGCTCCCGCCTCAGCCAGCCTTCACCGCATTGCTGGGCCAGCATGGCCGCCCGTCGCCTGCCGCGCCCACAAAGCCTTGCAGCCGGCTGGTGCCCCCTGAGCCTGTCTGTCTGCCTGCCTGTCTGTCCGTCTGACTCTGGCCTCCCCCAGGGTGTCTGTGAGGTCGTCCACCTTGCTCTGTGAGGAGGGCTGCATGACGGTGGTGGACACCGGCGCCTCCTACATCTCGGGGCCCATCAGCTCGCTGAGGCTGCTCATGGAGACGCTGGGGGCCCGGGAGCTGAGCACCGACGAGGTGAGTCCCTGGAGAGGCGGTGCCGGGTGGGAGGTGCTACTGGTTTAGACCCCCACGTCACCCAGGCAGCACTGGGTCCCACAGGAGGTAGATCATTCCAGGCCTTCCCCTCCTCACCTCTCATACTGTTCGCATGTGGCGGGGTCCCCGCCCGAGCGGGGGACAGGCCACAAGCATGGGGCTGGGTCTGCTGGGAGGCCTCCCCTCTCCAAGGGCCTCCCTGACTCTCTCCCCAGTATGTCGTGAGCTGTCACCAGGTGCCCACCCTCCCTGACATCTCCTTCCACCTTGGAGGCAGAGCCTACACCCTCACCAGCGCAGACTACGTGTTACAGGTGAGTTGCAGGCGGGCGGGGGCGGGCAGGAACCCTCAGAAAGGGACAAGTCATTGTGGCCGTTTACCTACTAGCCCAGCAGTTCTCAAACCTGGCTTCTAACAGTCCCGGGAGCAAGCCACGTCCCCCACCTATTGAGTCAGAGCTTCTGGGGGCAGAGCCTGGGCATCCGTGTTGTCGCAACTCCCAGGTGATTCCAATGTGCAGCCGAGTTTAGGGATCACAATGCTCAGCTCCTTCTCTCCCTTTTCTCATCAAATGCTCCCATAATGCAAGGCTCCTGCATTCAAATCCTCCTTTCCACTCAATAGACTTAGAGAATTAGATCAGCAGCTCTACCGGTCGGCTGGTGGGGGCAGGGCTGTGCCTACTGCCTCGTGTGCACGGTGCCTGCGTGCAGAGGGGTGCGGTCCACGAGGAATGGAAAGGGCAGGATGCAATGGAGGCGCGGTATAGGAGGAGGGGGAGAAGAGGAGGGACGTGGCTGAGGAAGGCCTCTGGCGTCAGGCAGGATGAGGGCAGCATGGTCACGTGCTGGGCAGTGAGGAAACCCCGTGCTTCCCGCCAGGACCCCTTCAGTAACGATGACCTGTGCACCCTGGCCCTCCACGGTATGGACATCCCGCCGCCCACTGGGCCCGTCTGGGTCCTGGGCGCCACCTTCATCCGCAAGTTCTACACGGAATTCGATCGGCGGAACAATCGCATCGGCTTCGCTCTGGCCCGCTGAGGCCCTCTGCGGGCCCTGCGGCCGCCGGCGCCCCGGCCTGGGCGGGAGCCCTCTCTGGCCCGCCTCCGACCACGCCTGTGTCCTCACGGGAGGGTCAGGACACAGAGCGCCTCTTGGACGCAGCCCTGCCCCAGCCCCGCTCCTCCCCGCTCGGAGGACAAACAGAATAAAGACTCCATGCTCACAGCCCTCTTGCACCTGGGTCCATAGGGCTGGAAACGGAGGGAGGGGCGGCCGCGTGATCGTGTCCAGACAGGAATGCGGCCCGGAATAACAAACACCCTCACCTGACGTCTGCAGGGCTCCGGCAGACTTGTTTACACAACCTTGGGTGGGAGGTTTGCAGAACGCCAGCCCCTTCCCCCCTCCGGCCCCTCCAGGACCGAGGCCAGGGCTGTTACCGAACGACCGTAGGCTGTGGATCAGCAAGACCCTCCCAGCCGCGGAAGCCGACCCCGGCTCAGGCTCTGCCCTGATGCGCTAGCCAGGCCCACCTCTCCAGCACCGAGCACCCCCGCGACCCCATCCCCACCCCCGGCCCAATGGAGCCATGTACAGCGCAGGCCAAGGCACCGTCACCTGAAAAGGGGGAACGCCAGCGGTCTGAGCAGTACTCCCTTTTTACATGTGGGGAAACTGAGGCTCGAAGAGTGGAAGGCATTTGGCCGAGATCACTCAGTCAAGTGTGAGCACTCAAGGCCGGAACCCAGCCTCTGAGACTGTGTCTTAGGGGCTTTCCACCTTATCTACATGCAGGCAAACTTGACAGGGAGACACCCCCCTACTCCCTCCCCCCAACCATCCCCTCACACACACCCTGAGCACAGACGGTACACGCTCTCTCCACCTCCTGAACTGGAGACAAGGCCGAGTTTCCTCCTCCTCCTCCCCTTGGGCCGTCGGCAGGGATGTCGGGCTCAGGGGATGAGGGCAGGTATCCCCCTAAAGCCACAGGCGCTGTCCCTCTTCCTGGTAAGACCAAAAAGGGGGAGGCACTGACTGAGTAGCCTGATCAGGTCCCAGCAAACCTCACACCTTCTAGAAAGCTGCCACTCAGGATCGTGAGGGACCCCTGTCTCCTCCAGGGCACCATCCCTGCCTGGGCAGAGTCCTGCAGAGCCAAGAGCATGCTTCTCTGAGGTTACCTGCCCTGCTTTATTTCCTGACTGCAAAAAGGCCGGTCAGCCGCAGCGCCTGCTCCGGCTCCACATGCTGGGGCACCCTGACCTTACTGTGCAGCCCCACACCATCTCCTGCGCTGTCCAATATGATAACCACATGCGGCTATCCACACCAACACTCACTGCCACGCTGGTCCTATTTCAAGTGCAGGAGAGTCACGTGGGGCTCGTGGCCGCTGCACTGGACAAGACCATATAGGACATTCCCGTCGTCACAGACGGTCCTCCGGGCAGAGCCGGGCTCCGCACAGCAATCATGATGGGCCCTTGTGGGCGACAGGTTCCCCAACAGGTCAGCGACAACCTGGAGAAACAGAAAAGGGCCCCTTCTCTTTAGGGGTTTTCTGGGGGGACAGTAAGAGCTCTCCCACCAGGCTGGTAACTAGTGGGATACCCATTAGCACCCCGATCCCCAACATGCATCATCCCCAATGTCCCTTTTCCGTGTGTGTGTGTGTGTGTGTGAGAGAGAGAATGTGTGTGTGAGTGTGGGTGTGTGTGTGTGTGAGTGTGTGTGTGTGTGTGTATGTATGTGTGTGAGTGTGTGTGTGTGTGAGAGTGTGTGTGTGTGTGAGAGTGTGTGTGTGTGTGAGTGTGAGTGTGTGTGTGAGTGTGTATGTGTGTGTGTGTGTGTGTGTGTGTGTGTGTGTTATTTGCCTGGGGACTTCCCTGCAAGGAACCACCATTGAAATTCTGCATGGGCTGCAGGAGTCCAGGGCCTGGAGGCAGAGGGCTGGGCAGGGGCAGAGGGCCGATTTCCCCCCTCCCCCCACAGAATGGGCTGGGGGCGCAGGAAGAGCCCCCCTCCCCCTGGGCCTGCCTCAGAGAGAAAGAGAGAGAGGCGGCTCCAGCCGAATTAGAGAGAGAGGCGGCTCCAGCCCCCCTCCCCCTGGCTGCCCGAGCATGCCACCCTACCGCCTCGAAAGCGAAGGACCAAGCCCTGGGTGGAGGCGGGGTGCCCCAGGGTGCGGGGGAGATGGGCCCCAGCCGCAGGCCCTCCAGGCGCCCCGCCCCCCAGTCAATGCCGCGGCCCCGCCCCCGCGCGGGGCCTCCCCGGGGGCGTCCCCTGCCCCCGCCCCGCGCTCCAGGTAGAGGCGGCCCAGGGCTGCTGGTTGCGCCTCCGGGTCCGGGCCGCGTGGGGCCGGAGGAGGAGGCGGAGGGAGCGGAGGAGGCGGGAGCGGAGGGGGCGGAGGGGGCGGGAGGAGAGGGCGAAGGGAGGGGGCAGAGGGGCGGAGGGAGGGGGCGGAGGGGCGGAGGGAGGGGGCGTGCCCGCGGCCCCCGCCCCCCGCCCGCCCGTGATGTCACCGCCGCGGCCGGCCCCGGCGGCGTCTCCGGGGCGGCTCGGGGCGGCGGGCTGCGCGGAGGCGGACGCGGCGGCGGGCAGGGGCTCCCGGGGCATGGCCTGACCCCGGCCCCTCCCCGCCTGCGCCGCCCCCGCCGGCCCCCCTCCGCCCGGCCCGGCCCGCGTGTGCGCGGCGGCTCCGAGGGGGCGGCCCCGGGAATGGCTGCGCCCCCTCCGGCGCCCGTGCCGCGCGCGCCCTTTTACCTGCGGGGGCCGGCGCCCGGCCCGCAGTGCCCATGGGGCATGGAGGAGGGCGCGGCGGCTGGCGCGCGCAGCCGGGAGCCCCCGGGCCCCCCGCGGGCGGCCGTCCCCTGCTTCGCGGTCTCCGTGCACCCGGATGACATCCTGCCCGGCGCCCTGCGCCTCATCCGCGAGCTGCGGCCGCAGTGGAAGCCCGAGCAAGTTCGGACCAAGGTACTCGAGCGAGCGGGGGTGCGGGCGTCGATCCGGGTATCCCTATGGGCGTGGGGCCCAGGGGGCGCGGCTCTGAGAAGGAGGGGTGGTGTTGCATGTATGTTTGCGTGTATGTTTCCTCATCCGTCTGCCTCTCGCGCCCTCCACTCCCCTCTCCACTCGGGCTGGCGGGCGTGCACCCCGGAGGTCCACCTGTCCACTGTCAACGTGCAGCGCGGGCCCCATCCTCTGTCGCAGCGCTGCCCCCGGCTGCCCACCGCTGCCCCTGGCTGCCCACCGCTGCCCCCGGCTGCCCACCGCTGCCCCGGGCTGCCCACCGCTGCCCCCGGCTGCCCACCGCTGCCCCCGGCTGCCCACCGCTGCCCACCGCTGCCCCTGGCTGCCCGAGCATGTACCAAGCGGGTTGTGAAGCCTGCGGGCAGGAACTTTTCAGGAACCCCACACACAACCGTACTGCCCTTCTGCACCATGTGGTGGTAGCAAAGCCTCCAGGCTCTGAGGGTCTGGGATTCAGCTGGCCACAGCGCTAGGTGGGAGTCCTCCCCATCTCCCCTGGCTCAGGCTCAGCCACCCATCACACACACACACACACACACACACACACACAGCGCCTCCCACACCCAAATGGACACATGTGCAGGGAGTCTCTGGCTGACACCCCAGCTGACCTGTGTCCTCTGAAAAAAAAAATGTGTCGCCTGCCCCCCCCCCCCCATCCCTCTGGGAGCTGTTTGGGGGGGGTGGCCCTGGGTAGGCGGGAGGCACCTGCAGCTTGTGCTGGAGCGGCTCCTCCTCTGGGAGATCCTGGACCGAGTGTGGAAGCTCACAGACCTCCTGGGAGAAGGATGGGGAGATGGCATTTTCAAAACAAAGGATCTCCTTTGGAGGATGAGGGCCAAAGCATCAGGCAGGCCCGATTACTGCCACTACCGGCCTAGCATGCTACCTGCCAGTCCCTCCCTCTTAGGACCTCAGTTTCCCCGCCCAGAATTGGTTCAAGGCCCCTCCCAGCACTGCCACTGCGCCCTGTAAATTCCATGGTTCCTTCCTCCTTGTCAGCCCCTTGGGGAGCCTGGTCTCCCCGCTCAGGGTCGATGGTCTCTTCTGGTGTTGGAACGCAGAGGCCCTAAGGAGCTCTGAGCACCCAAGCCCTGGGGTGGGTGCCACCCTCAAGACCCTGGATGGGCAGGAGGGACAGCAAAACGCCCTGTGCCTGCAGGCAGGGAGAGTTGGTCCAGTGGGGATGGACTCGTCCTGGGCGCTCAGACCAGAGTGAGTCCCTGGTGTCTCCCCGGCCACATGCTGGTCAGTGGGGGCTGCCCTCGGGGCCAGGGCGGAGGAGGAAGGAGAGGAGGGGGCTTCTAACCCTCAAGGGGTGTGCAGACTCCCCACACAAACAAACCCCAGCCCTGGAGGTAGACGCGGGGTGCCTGGCCTGAGCCAGAGCTGCCACTTTTTTGGTAAATACCTGTGTTTTCCAATGGCTGCGACCCACAGGTTGAGAACCCGCTGCTGTAGAGCCTAAGACCGTCGGAAAACACAGATGTTTACATTACGATTCATTAACTGTAGCAACATGACAGTTATGAAGTCTCGGCCTCGGGAAGGTTGAGAACCACTGCTCTAACCCACCCCAGGCGTTGGGGAGTGTGAGCTCTGTGGTAAAGGAGTGTGAAGGACGGGGTTCTGTGTGGTCGGGCTGGCGCTGGGCGGCCGTGGGGCAAGAGGAGACGCCCTGCCCCAGGCACCCCGTGCTGCCCTCTCCCCGTGCCAGCGCTTCACCGACGGCATCACCAACAAGCTGGTGGCCTGCTACGTGGAGGAGGACATGCGGGACTGCGTGCTGGTCCGGGTGTACGGGGAGCGGACGGAGCTGCTGGTGGACCGGGAGAGCGAGGTCAGGAACTTCCAGCTGCTGCGAGCCCACGGCTGCGCCCCCAAACTCTACTGCACCTTCCAGAACGGGCTGTGCTACGAGTACATGCGGGGCGTGGCCCTGGGGCCTGAGCACATCCGGGAGCCCCGGCTCTTCAGGTGAGGAGGGCGGGCGCCCCGGGTCCTGGCCATCTCCATGCTCTCTCAGGCCTCCTCGGGCTTTGGAAGCTCTGGCCAGCTTCCGTGGTGGAACGTGGAGTCCATGAACAAGCCATAAGATCTGAGAACTCCCTGAAATTGCATGGGAAAGAGGGGTGTGTGTGTGTGTGTGTGTGTGTGTGCATTGCTGTGCAAAGAGGGGCGATCGCTTTGGGTAGGTTTGCAGTGGGGTCTGCTAGGAGTCCTCAGGCGAGGCGCTGGAGAACTTGCGTGAACGTGGGAACAAACCAAGCGCCTGGGTCCCTGAATGCGGCAGGGATCCCCGTCCTGGTCCATGGACGCATCTCAGCCTTGGAAATGAAATCTGAGCCAAATCCCAGCCCCTCGGGGAGCTGAGCCCCTCCCCTCCTGCCATGAGCTCAGTATTGGGGGGAGCAGGGGTTCGTAGCCCAGGGAGATGCCATCCCTCCCACACTGTGAGCTCCTCTCAGATGTCCTGACAAAGTGGGAACCCGGGTTCGGGGAACTGCTGAGCTTCCAGAGCCTCACAGAACCTCCAGGCCCCAGGGAGCCCGTCCTGGGGAATGCCTGCATCTAGAGGACCCCAGGCCCTGGGGCTGTGGGGCCTGGTGCCCTCTTCTCTCTGCGGGGCAGGATCCACCGTCCTCCCTCCAATGCCTCGGCCATGTGCAGGGCACTCAACCAGAGTGAGCTCCCAGGTGACGCTGGGGAGAGTGGCACAGGGGTCTGCCCAGGACCCGTGGGCTCTGTCCTGTCCCACCCGCAGGGAAGGAACCTTCCAGATTCCGAGGGGCAACAGCAAAGCCCCCCTGGGGAGTAGACCAAACAGCTCCTTTGCTCCCTCGCCTGCTGCAGTTAACCCCAGGGTAGTGTCCCTGGCCCTGTTTGCAGGGAACCCCTGTCAGGCCTTTTAAGGACTTGGAAGGAGGGAATCTAAGAGCCTCACCCTCCACTCCAGCGCTCCTGGCTGCTGAGGCCCCAGCAGATCCCCCGGAGTTGTGATTTGTCGCTGTGTGTTTGTGTCTGGGTTTGGGGGATGTGCCAGCCCACTTAAGAGACATCTCAGGCTCCCCGCTGAGCAGCGGCACATGCACCCAGGCCGGAGAGGGAGGTCTGGGCAGGGCAGAGGGTGCGAAGCCCTGCCCTGCTACCCCACCAGCAGCTCCTCCCAGCTCCAATACTGGCAGGTCCTCGACACTCCCAGTCTCACCGCCCCTGTGCATCTGACACCGTCACTCCCCCTCTCGTGGAAATAATTACCATTGTCAGGAAGAGGAGGGTGGATTAGGGTCCAATAATAAGAACTTGACATTCATTGGGGGGGAAGCCAAAAATTGAGCGAAGTGTGGGAGGTAGCCCTTCCTGAGTCCTTTTCTCAGGATAGACCATTCTCTCCCTGGGATAAAGGTGGGTCCAGGAGGGAAGGCGGGGGGTGGGGAGGGAGAGAACCGCGTGGCCCTGAGTCCCACCTCCCAGCCTGGGCCTGCTGAGGCTTTGCGGCATCAAGATGCTGCGCGCTGAGGTTCACTCCCATTGCTATTCCAGGCAGCATCCCTATTGATATTCAAGGAAACGCTCAGCTCGAGTTCCGTTCGGAATCCTCCTCTGGGGAGGGGAGGGGAGGCCTGGGTCTCAGGTCTGTTTCTCGCCTCGCCCAGGCCATGCCCTGGGCTCCCTCCTCTTCCGGGACCTCCAGCCTTCCTCTCTCACCCACTCAGCTGCTGCCACGCCCCTGCCCCCTCCGCCCTGTAGGAGGTGGGAGCCTTGGGGGCTTCCAGAGGAGCCCCCAGAGTGGCCCGTTGTCCTGCTGGGAAATGGCCCTGCCCCTTCCCAGGACCCGGGAGGGGCGGGCGTGGGTGTCCCTGGACAGCTCGGCAACAAGGTTTCAAACAGTCAGTGCCTTTGTTGTCTTTCCCAGATTATTGTTGGAGCAACAGGCAGAGGTAGAGGAAGCTCGGATGTTGGAGGCTTGACAGCGGGTGGGGGTGGGGGTGCAGAGGGGGTGCTGGCCCAGGGTGGTGGGGAGAGCCCAGCCAGGACCCAGGTCTCAGGCGCTGATGGGTCCTTATCAAGCTCCCCCCCCCCCCTCTGACGGTCAGCCCTCCACCCACCTCCACCCTCAGGCAGCCGCCTTCCCTGGAGCTGCCTTCTCCGCTCCCCACCGCCCCTCCTTCCCTCCGGGGACCTTGGATAATGTCCACAGGAGAACTTGAAAATAGAACGCTGGTTTGTTTTGCGTCCTTGGCACCCAGCCACCAGCATCAACTCCCTGCCCCAGAGAGGGGCTGCCCGGGGCCCGCCTGTGTCCCTCCCCACCTTGGCCCGGCTGATAAGAGGCGGGCCTTCCTGATCCCTTGGTGCCCTGCGTTCACTTCCCCCTGAGGGTCAGAGTCCAAGGGGGATGGGGGGAAGGGACACTGCCCCCATCCCCAGGGACCCTTCTGTCCTCAGGGCTTGCTGTGGGTACATGACCTTGGGGTGGGGCAGGGTCACTAGCCAAGTAGCCAACAGCCCACTGCTTTGCCCTTCTGCTAGGCCAGCTCTAGTTCTGGAAAAGGACCTGCTAGGCCAAAGGCCAATCTCCTTTCCATGCCTCCACTGAGGTGTAGAGAGAGCTCTGGAAAGATATGTAATAGCCCCACCAGACTCTGCCCTCTGGCCAGCCCCCTCCTGGACACTGTAGGGCCTCTTTCCGGTCAGGAGGGGCTGATACTCTACCCTTCCTGTGTTGTTTTTTGTTTTTTGCTGTAGGCTAATCGCCTTGGAAATGGCAAAGATCCACACCATCCACACCAACGGCAGCCTGCCCAAGCCCACCCTCTGGCACAAGATGCACACCTATTTCACCCTTGTGAAGAACGAGGTCAACCCCAGGTAGAGAGATCTGGGAGGGCTCGAGGCTGCCACCGTCTCCTCCGCCTTCATGTGATTCTGCTCCCCGTTCTTTTGCTCCACCCCACCCCGCAGGAGGGTTAGTGGTTTCAGTCCCGATCGCTGAGCCTCTGTTGCCAAGGAGAGTGGGGCCAATTGAGAAACCTGAGGACCTTCAATCCATGCTTGTGCTTCTTTCTTCTTTTTTCGACCCTCACCCGAGGATGTGTTGTTCCTTTCATTGATTCTAACGAGAGAGGAGGGGCTGGGGGAGAGAGAAACATCTATAGGCTGCCTCCTGCACGCAGCCTGACCAAGGGTCGAACCTGAGACCCTTTAATGCACGAGATAGTCCTGTAAGCACTGAGCAACACCGGCCAGGGCTGCTTATTCCTTCTGGAGCCTGCTGGTTGTGGCAGGGCCTGGGGTCAGAGACAGTGTCTTCCATTTTACTTAAAGGGCCCTGAGGCTCAGCGCTCAGCTTTGCCCAGTGTCAGGGCTACTTGAGCTGCCTTCTAGCCCAGGAAGGAAGCCAGCCTCTGGGAGAGCGGTGAGGCTGTTACAGCCAGTCAGAAGTCAGCTCCTCCAGCCAGTCAGAAGCCAGCTCATCAGCGGAGAAGGTCTTGGGACATCAAGACTCCTACTGCTTGTCTGGATGCCTCTCATCCCCTCGTGCCCCAGCCCCGCCCTCGCCTGGCAACCTCACTTTCCACCTTATTCCGACTGACAGCTTGCTGTTTCCTCTCTGCTCTTTTCATCACTGTAACAGCATCTTTCCCCAGATAAGACAGGACTCCCAGATCAGCCATCTGAGAGTCCTTCTAGCCTCAGGTTCCTGACTCACCCATTTACCTGAGTCAACAATGGGGGCAAGGAAGAAAGAGGGGTGTCATCCTGCCCCTTCCCCAAAAAAAGCTTGAACACCCTTTTTTCCAGGTGTTCATGAGATGGGGTACCCAGGTCTGAGCGCAGGGTACCCCCTCCCCTCCTTGAAGATGATGAGACAATAATGGAATCTCTCCCGATTGCGTATCTCTGTCCCACTCTCACACACAGGAGGCTTTATCTGGATCCTCCCACTCAGGGATGATCCAACACTGCTCTGGGACTATTTGTCCAGCATGGCGCATGCTCAGACCTTCTGTGTTAAGTGTTATCTCTGGGGCAAGAACTGCCTTGCCTCTTAGGACTAGAACAGCACGCTAAGAAGTAGGACCCCTGCCATCTCAGCCTACAGGACCGGAGAGCTCCCAGCCCACCACGTCCATCTGACAGATTAAGAAACTGAGACCCTGGATGAGGATAGGACTTGCCCAAGGTCATTACTTATCAGTGGCAACTCAAGGACTGGCGTCCAGGCCGATGCTCAGGCATAACCCTGGCTACTGCAGCTTCCTTTGAATCTGCAGCCACTGTGTATCCTTTGGGGGAGGGGTGTGACCTTGTTGGGAGGAGAGTCTTCTCTGGAGAAGAGCCGACCAACTCCCTTTGTTCTTGCCACATTTTTGACCTTGGGCAAATCAGCTGGCTTAACTTTCTCGAGCTTCGTTAGGGGGTGATGCCTGCCCTGTCCTGCCCACAATACCCCAGAGCAGGCTGTGATGAGCAGCCACTCAGACAAGATGAAGCATCTGAGTTCTGTAATAACCCTCTCTAATAATTGTCCCGATCAATCTGATGTAGTCCATCCTTCATTTTACAAGCATGGATTTATTGGGATTTAAAGCAAACAAAAAATACCGAGGTGGCATTGGCGCTGCCTTCAGAAGCTTAGGAGCCCTCTGGGTCAAGAGGACCTGGCCCTGCAGAGCCATAGGAGGAGGCAGGGAGTTCAGTGTGTGCCAGGCGGGGGAGAACCAGGGAAGGTCTTCTCGGCAGAGATGGGAAGGGAGGCACTCTGGCTGGAGGAGGTGGCCTGAGTGCAGCTTGCTGGTGGATGTGGGGTAGACCAGTTGGCCGGAGCAGATCTTCAGGAAGGGTTGGGAGGGGTCTGGAGAGAGAGAGAGTGCTGCAAGGGTCCTGTGAGCTGGAGCCAAAGTGTGAGGGAACCTTCAAGGTCAAGTTGAGGAAGGAAGATTCCATTTGGCTGGGGTGGGAAGTATTTGTGAAAGTGTTTGAGCTGGAGACTCGGGTCAGTAACCTGCCCAGGAAATGGAGGTGGGAGTTAGGGAAGCAGGGAGACCATCTGGAAAGAGTTAAATGGGCAGCCTTTAGAACTAGGTGAAAGGTGAAAGCCACTGATGGGAGGGCAGGCTAAATAGCCATTTCAGACGGTGAATAAAGAAAATTTTAATTTACTTAAGGGAAAGAGGATAGGGATGGGGATATCCAAAGGGAGGGGCTACCTAGCACTGAGCCAAAGGGTATTGTGTCCATAGGTGACGGAAAGATACATGTAGGATAGGGAAACAAGGAAGGGCCTAGAAGCAGCAGCAGGAGAGCCTAGGCTGGGCTGCTCTGGCTCAGGAACCTGCCTTGGAGTCAGGTTCAGGGGGTTAGCCCAGGATGAGCCACCACTGCCTGTTGCTCCCCTGGTTGGGTCCTTATAGGGAAGAGGGGGAAGGGGATGGCAGGGTGTGCTCCTTGGAGGGAGAGCGCACACTGGGTCCCTCGTCCTGAGAGTATTTCTCTCTCATCCTGAGAGTATCTCTTTCCCTCAGGTGGAAATCCTAGGGGAGGTCTCAGGGAGGGTCTGATAGAATATTCACCCGCTTTCTGGGTGTGCTTTTTTAGGTCATGATCTCCACCCATTGGCTGAAGCCAGGGCAGGGTCATTAGTCAGTGCAACTGGTCCTGAGGCAGCTACGTGGCACTTGTCTGGTTTTGCTGCTTTTCTGGGCCTGGAGCTGAAATGCAACGGAGGCCTGGATGTTATCTCCAGGGAGGAAAAGGTCACGATCAGCGATATGCCGGGGGAAGATAGATTACCCTGGGCACAGGGTTCTTGTTTCCCCAGCTCTTCCCCTTGCTGGGCCTCTGGGGCTTTCAGCCCTGGTGCGTTTCTGTGCCATGCCCATCGTCCATGCTCTCCTCCTATCTAACGCTGGGGTTCCCAGGGTTGAGCATGTGATTCCCTTGGGTGCTGGCTCCGTGCAGGTTCTGACCTTGGACAGTGGTGGGAGGTCTCACATGACTCTCAGCGTCTGCATTTCAGAGGCTCCTGGTGATGCTGAGGCAGGTGAGCAGGGTCCACTTTGGAGGAGCACTGCCCCCCGCAGCCTCAGGGGTGGAGTGGGCTGAGGCAGAGACCTCATGGAAATAGGGTAGCTTAGGCATCTGGGTCGGCACGGCCGTGTCCAGGGTGGCCAGGAGGATGTGGGGTTGATAACTGCTTTGGGGCAACACAAGGAGACTCAGATAGGCCGAGCGGCGTGAGGGCAAAGATAATGCAAGCCGAGCCCTTGGAAAGTCCGGCCTTCCCTGCTCCGATCCTGAGAGCTGAGAGGACACTGGCCAGGCATCAGTCCCTTCCTCAGGAAGAACCCCAGGCCCTGTCACCTGCGCCTGTGGCCTCGGAGGGACAGGCTCAAAGAGGGATGTGAAAGTCTCCGAGATGAGACTCAAGCCCTCAGCCCCGGGGAGGATGGTGGTGTCAGGCCTGAGGGAAGCTGCACTGGCTATCATCCAGGTGTTCAGGGGAGGGAGGGAGGCCGGGATCGTTCCCACGGTAACCATCTCTGTGGCCTTGGGGTGGGTAGCGTGGGGGTCAGACAGAGCTCAGGGTCTGGGCAGCAGGCATCTTGGATGTCAAAGCCATGTTTTTCAAGCCGAGACCTCGGCAAACTGAAGGAGGCCTCCTAAGTTTTATCTTTGGATGGTCTCTGTCCAAGAAAAGGGAGAATCTTAAAAAAAAAAAAAAAAAAAAAAAAAGGGTAGCTTTTTAGGGAGAGCCAAGAGAGAAATGCAGGCTCTGCAGCCTGGGGTTACAGATAAACTCCAGTGAAGGGGGTGTGGGGTGTGGGGAGGAGGGGGCCTCCCTGGCAGCCCCTAACGGGTGCTTGTGCTCCGAGGGCCTGCGCAGAGCCTCAGCGGGCACCGGGCCCTCGTGGTTAGGGGTCCTGACCTGACTCCCATCCTTAGACAGGCTGAGGGCCGAGCTCCTTAGTGAGGATGTACAGCAGTGATTCTCAACTGGTTAAGAACTGCTAGCAGGGTCACCTAAGACCATCAGAAGCAAAATGACAGTTATGAAGTAGCAATGAAAATAAAAAGTTATGGTTGCGGTCACCCAACATGAGGAAGTGTATTAAAGGGTCGCGGCATTAGGAAGGTGGAGAATCACTGACGTAGAGGGTCTAGCTGTACAGGAGACGCCTGAGGCTGGAAGGGAGACTGCCCTTCCTTGAGCCTCAGTTTCCCCACTGGGTTGGTCTGGAGACCTAGGATCCTCTTTAGCTTTGACCTTCTCAAAGGGTGAGGCAGTCTGTCACTCACCCATTCCCCAGGGGGGACATGGGGACACCTTAGTGGCTGCGAACCCTTCCGCACATTCTGGTTTCTGGGCTGGGGGTGGGGGCATCCGTGGGAGCACCAGGGGGACCTCTCTCCTTCTCACGCCCCTGCCCATCCTCTCCCTGCCCTGGACGAGAGAGCAAACAGGAGATGGATGCGTGGGAGCAAGATGCCAGCCCCCCCCCCCATCCGTGGTTCTGGGGGTCCCGGGGCCGTGCTGACTCCTTGGCTTTTTAGGGTGCACGGAACCTGTGCGTCCGGGGACCACGGTTCAGAGCTTCTGTGCACAGTGGCTCCTCATCAGCTTCCCAGGCCTCTGTGGGACCCATTCATTCACTCCTCAGCAGCAGGGCCTGTGTGTGCTGGGGGGGGGGGCGCAGAGGGGCTCCGGGGGCTTTGTTCCTGCCCTCAGCTGGCCCACCTCTCTCGCCCGCCCAGCCTCTCCGCAGACGTCCCCACGCTGGAGGTGCTGGAGCGGGAGCTGGCCTGGCTGAAGGAGCACCTGTCCCAGCTGGGCTCCCCGGTGGTGTTTTGTCACAACGACCTGCTCTGCAAGAACATCATCTACGACAGCACCAAAGGTACGGCTGTGTGGTCCGGGCAGCCGGCGGGGCTCTGCTCCCAAGGCCGGCCCAGGGGCAAGCACTCGGAGACCTTTCCACTGAGGTCGTCAGTCCGTTTGTCGGAGAGAAATGGAAAAGGAAACAAACTCCCACTTAGAAAAGTCTGCGCCCCGAAAGGGCTCACCGGCAGGGCTTGTGGGGGTCTTTAATGTTAGGGCGCCCGAGTGATCCCCCCCACAATGCTTTGGGCTTCCCATGCCTTCTCTGCTGTTTCAAGCCTTCCTGTGGCCTGACCTGAGCTTCCCCCAGAAACCCTTTGCTTTATTATTATTATTAATTATTATTATTATTATTTTAGATATATATTTTATTGATTTTTTACAGAGAGGAAGGGAGAGACATAGTTAGAAACATCAATCAACTGCCTCCTGCACACCCCTACTGGGGCACATGCCCTTGCCCGGGATCGAACCTGAGGCCCTTCAGTCCGCAGGCCGACACTCTATCCACTGAGCCAAACCGGCCATGGCTGCTTTATTATTTTTTAATATATTTTTTTATTTCAGAGAAAGGGACAGGGTGAGAGAGGTAGAAACAGCAATGATGAGAGAGAATCAATCGGCTGCCTCCTGCATGCCCCCCACTGGAGACCGAGCCAGCAAGCCAGGCATGTGCCCTTGACCAGAATCGAACCTGGGACCCTCAGTCTGCAGGCCAACGCTCTAGCCACTGAGCCAAACCGGCAAGGGCAGGAACCCTTTGGTTTATAAGTCAGGCCCTTGACCGTGCTGAGGACAGATGTCTTGACCTGGGGAGAGCCCCAGGGACTTGCTCTGTGAGGGCCAGCGGAGTGGGGGGAGGGGGCAGGTGGACAGAGGGACAGGCAGAAGGAAGCAGCTGAAGAATGCTGCTGAAGAGGTTGGGCAAGGCCAGCTGGCTGCCAGGCCCGCACGGGAGCGGTGAACTCCGCACGTCTGCGGCGGCCTGACCGGGCCTGTCCGGGTCTCCAGGGCCAACTTCAGTGCTTCTCTGCCTCGCAGGTCACGTACGGTTCATCGACTACGAATACGCCGGCTACAACTACCAAGCCTTTGACATTGGCAACCATTTCAACGAGTTTGCAGGTGAGAAGGGCGTTGCTCTCTGGCCTTTGTCCAGCATCCCCTCTGATTGATGGATGGCCAGGTCAGGGAGAGAGGGTGAGAGGGGTCCCGTACTTGGGGGGTGGAGCCTAGACAGCTCCTGAACCCCGAAATAGCCCAGCTCGGGGCCGGGAGGTGGAAGGGGAGACACAGGCTGGCTTGGAGAGCTCCCAGTCTCCTGGGGGAGGCAGGGCCCCCCTGCCCAGAGCGCACCTGCTGGCCAGTCTGGCAGCTTGGTACAAAGTAGGAAGACATGCCCACGTGTGTGTCTCATGTCGATACTGCGAAGGATCCCTGAGGATCCCTGGCTTGGCATGTGACTTCGAAAAAGACCCCTCCCTATGTACCGGGGGGGGGGAGGGGGGAGGCAATGGTATATGTACAAAAATAATAATTTAATGAAAAAGAAAAAGACCCCTCCCTCTGGGTACGTGATCCCTTGCCAGCGGGGCCGGCACAGGACAACCTCAGTCTCTCCTCACCCCCTGCCCACGCTCCTTTCTGCCCAGTGCAACCTGCAGGTCAGGTTGTGGATGAGGGCCCAGCAGGCAGGTGGGGAGCAGAACCAGCTGGAAGCAGCTGCTTGCCTGGAGGCATGATGGAAAGAACCTCCTTGCAGCTGGTTAAAGTCTGTGCTCAGCAGCATGGCTCCTGGACTTGGAATCCTGGCTCTGGTGCTCGCTGCTTGACCCTGGCCTTCTCTGTGCCTCTGTAGACCGGAGATAAAATAGGACTAGGATAAGGTGACCAGATTTTAACATTGGTAAAGTGGGACACCATTGACCCAGGGGGCGGGGGGGTTTTGGGGGGAGAGAGTCAAAATGTTTTCGTCGTTGCCAATCCCAAAAAATGCCATTGTTCATTAAGTCCAAACAGTGGTGGTCGAATTCTAACAACTGATCAACAATGCAAACCTTGATAAGTAGCTCTTGATCATCGGTTCTCAACAATTATTTGTTATTATTAAAGTTTAACATAAAATTAACAAAAATAATTTAAAACTTATATTCTGGCTAAATAGCCACATGGCTGCCAAAAATCATATATTCCCTTCCCGTTCTCCCACCGTTTCCTAGCTTGTCCTGCATACTTTCCAAAAATCGGGACTTTTTTAAAACGCCACAGGACTCGGGACAAATTGTTAAGACTCGGGACAAATTGTTAAAAATCGGAACGTCTGGTCATCTTATACTAGGACCAACTTCATAGTATCGACATGAGACACACAAGTATGGCACATACTAAGCAGATACTAGCACTGGCTGCTGACACAGGGCGGGAAGCCTTCTGCATCCGGAGACTGGAGCAGGGCTGGATGGTGGATGCGGAAGTGCTTCCTAGGAGCAGGCAGCGTGTACACAGAATCAGTGTGTATGGAAGCAGGGTGATTGTTCCAGCTTAAGGGCCTGTTAAAAACAATTCCATGGGGCGAAAAGCTAGCCCCTGGCACTGGGGCTGGAGGGGCACCCCAGGATGACAGGGTGAGGCGCTCAGCAGCCCCTGAGGCTTAGGAGAAGCCTCACCTGGCCCAGCCTCAGCCACTCTGCAGCCCAATCGAGGCCGATCATGACCCTCTGGAACCCCAGCCAACCAGGTCTGTTGGTCTATCGCCATGGTCGGCAAACTGTGGCTCTTGAGCCACATGCAGCTCTTTGGCCCCTTGGATGTGGCTCTTCCACAAAATACCACGGCCTGGGCATGTCTATTTTGCAGAAGTGCCCAGGCCGAAGAAGTTTAAGTTTAAAAAATTTGGCTCTCCAAAGAAATTTCAATCGTGCTGTGGATATTTGGCTCTGTGGACTAATGAGTTTGCCGACCACAGGTCTAATAAGTACTAATTATACCTGAGGGTGAGACTCAGGAACCAGAGGCTCAGCTGGGCCGAGCAGCTGAACCGTGGGGGTTGGCACGAGCTGAGGCTGGCATCTGCAGGGCACGGGGCCTCTGCATGCTCAGCTGCCAGGCCACTGACCTTTCCAGAGGGGATTATGCGTAAGCGTGTTAAGCCCTTCTCACCCACCACACGGGGTGAAGTCCAGCTGGAATTTCCCCAAAGGGGCAGATTGCATCCTGCTCTAAGCTGCGAATGGAGGAGGAGGACTGAGCAGGGGGCAGGGAGGAGAGCCAGGGAGAAGATTGGGAGCTGGGCAGAGGGCCCTCCAGGGTTCGTGGGAACAAGGGGTCTGTCTGTTACTGGGAGCTGGAAATCCGAGTTCCCATTCTGAACCACCTCTAACCGGCTGCCTCACCTTGAGCAAATGTCTTCTCTCTGGGCCTCAGTTTCTACATCTGCACAAGGAGGTTCTTTCCAGCCATACTCTCAGGGCCCTGGGCGACTGAGTGTGTTTCTCCAGAAACCTCAGGGAAGCTTGGAAAGGAAAGAAGAGGGAGGACGAGGCTAGGGAAGGTGGTCCAGTCCTAGTTCAAAAGCCCAGGCCTCTGCCTCTGGGCCCAGGATGTGCCCAGGTGCTGGGCTGGCAGCTTGAGGACTTCATGGACCAGAAGGGATGGAGGCCACTGAGGGATGGATGTTCCCCAGTCTGGAGAAGTGGGTGGGGGCAGGGGCCTTGGAGTCTGCTGCGAACACTCTCCCAGTGATGTCTAAGCAGCCAGCCCTCAGGAAGCAGGGTCTGCATCACACGGAGCCTTCGTTTGCTATGGAGAGATTTGGGCCCATGAGAGGAAAGGGCTGGTCCGAGGTTAACTGGAGGTCAGCATTGCACCTAGGACAACCGAGCCCTGACTCAGTGCTGTGCCCCATATCTCTATATGGCATCATGTTATATAGGGAATGGGGGAGACAGCGGTGCTCAGGGGGTCCCCATCACTCCCAGGACTAGCCCTTGCTCCTCAGCCAATCTGCTCCTCTCAGCGCCCCAGCTGGGGTGGGGCTCGACCCTCTACACATTGCAGCTGACAGCAGGCTGCCTTGCCAGGCCCCGCCCCGCGAAGCAGGGGCACCTGGGCTGGAGGAGGCCCCTGGTGGGCCATCTCGCAGCCACGTCTGTGGTGCTGCCTCCCACCAGGTGTGAATGAAGTCGATTACTGCCTCTACCCGGCGAGGGAGACCCAGCTGCAGTGGCTGCGCTACTACCTGCAGGCCCAGAAGGGCATGTCCGTGACCGACAGCGAGGTGCAGCGGCTCTACGTGCAGGTCAACAAGTTTGCCCTGGTGAGTGCGTGTGGCTTCGTGGCCGGCGGGAGCAGGGCAGGGCAGAGCCAGGAGGTGGGACGAGGGACCCACCCCCAGCTCCTGCCTCTGGCATCCTGTGGTGGAGGAGGAAGCAGACAGAGCCCGGGAACCCCACCCTAGAGGTGAGACCTAGGGAGAGCCATCTTGGGCACCCCCATCATACAAAGGTGCCCTGCTCCCTGTTTCCCCCTCCCCCTCAAGTCTAGGTTCCCCCTTTCCTGGGAAACTACTTCCAGGAAAGAGCTCTGCTTCCTCTGTTAGCAGTTCTCTCACTGGGACCAGTAGTTCTTTCTAGTGTCTAACCTCACTCTTTCATGCTACAGCTAAGCATGCCCCTTCTTTATCAGAGCCTTCGGAGGAGACGGAGAATGCTAGCTCTAATCCTCCTGGTTAGGGTCCTCTGCTGACTCAGAACTCGGTCAGCCTTTCCCATCGGGCTCTTCCTGCTCCAGTTACCGTGCTGTCCGTTCTTGATCCCGTGTGCCCCTTCCTTACTCAGCGTCTGTGGTTCGTGCCAGGTCTCCACTGGTGTGTGCCCAGGAGCATGCTAACGAGCCTTCCTCATGTCAGCCATGCGTAAACAAGAGTAAGTCAGCTGCCCCGAGTTTCACAATCCGCCCAGGAGCTGAAGTCACATCGTTGCTTACCTGGGAGTTCAGCTGCCCTTTCCGTCCTCGCCTGCACAAAGCTGGTTCTCCCTCAGGCTCTTCCTCCTGACATGTTTCACTCCGCGTCTTTCTCTCGCTAAAGTTTTTAGTAATCTTTCATACATGCTAATTGGCCTACACGTCCCCTTTAAGTCCTGAAAAAGGCAGAAAGGGGAGGGAGGTACTGGATAGTCAACCCCAGAGCAAGCAGGACTTGGGCCGGGGTGCGGGACCCCAGCAGGGAAAATACGTGTGTCACCACTGTTTATTGGGGGGCAGCTGGATGCTCTGCTCTCTGGCTTCTTGAACCTGGGGTGACCTGGGCCCCTGGGCGCCTCTGGCTCTGGGGGAAACAGCTGAAAGCGTAGTGCCCGGATTCTGGCTTCTTATTCCCACATCTACGTTCATTTCCCAACCCGACCACCTCCTGACAGAAGGTAGGGAGAGATCGCTTTAAGGGGCCATCTAGCAGGCCAGGCCTTGATGGCTATATGGCCAGGGCACTGCTAAGGGGCACTACCTACCCCCCTTCCACTGGCCAGTGCCCTGGGTTCGCTCAGAGGCTCATCTCGCCTGGATCTGCTGGCCTTGGAGACTTGAGGAGGTGCTGCCCAGGGGCAGAAGCCAGGGGGAAGCGGTGTGGGCCGGGAGCACCATCTCACCGACACCCCTGGGGGGTGTGGGATTCGGGAAGAACTGACTCTGTTAGAGGGAATGGAGCCCCCAGATGCTACCCGGTGACCTCACCGCCTGTGCTGGGGAGACCCCTCGGTGTCCTGCCAGCGTCCTGTGTTTGCCGGAGAGACTGCGTCCCTCCCCTCGCGCACACGGGGTCAGGGCCAGGCTTGGCAGGACACCGTGCCACCCTCTGCTCCGTTTGCAGGCTTCTCACTTTTTCTGGGCGCTCTGGGCCCTCATCCAGAACCAGTTCTCCACCATCGACTTCGATTTCCTCAGGTGAGCACCGGTTGACGCGGGGCAGGGGGCAGGCGGAGGGGGGAAGGAAGCTGACGGTGTGGGGGCAAAGGACAGCCCAAAAGGAACGTCCAGAGTCCACTCACCTGCTAATGTGTCCCCACCAGCCAGCCAGGGCCCCGGGGTCAGTGCTCCAGGGGAGGTCAGGACCCGGAGCAGCTCGGAGGAGCCTGGAGTTTATGCACCTGCTCTGCCTGCCTGGCGGGCGATGACACTTTCCCTGCCTCCTCCTGCAACCCCAGGGCCCTAGCCACAGGGCCTGGTGGGGATGGGACGGTGACAAACCAGGCTGAGGCCGTGAGCCCAGCCGTCACTCCATAGCAGAGGGGTCAGCGGTCCAGAGCAGAAGTGACTTGCTGAGGCCGCTAGGTGGTTTCGTGCTTACCGTGGGGGGTGTCAGACCCCACTCCTCCTTCAGCGGCCCCCAGTGACGCACTGCAAACTGTACCAACACTGTACTCGGACACAGACCCCATGGGTGGATGGAGGATTACATCATGTGGGTGCATAGGTCCCTGAGGGCCAGGAATCACTTTGTTCTTCATTCTGGTCCAGTCTCCTCACCTGCTCCTCCCCATCCGCCCTCACTCTAAAGGGCATCACTGCCCTGGTTTCGGTGTTCCCTGCCATCAGAGGTAGGCAGTCAGAGGCACAATGAGCTCATCACTGTCAGGATGGCCACTAGCAGATGAACAGAACATGAAAGTGTTGGCGAGGACGTAGAGAAACGTGTGGGAACCATTACTGAACTTCCTCACACCTTAGAGTGTTTGGAAGGCCCAGCAGGCTCACTGCTGGGTAGAAGGGGTGAAATCAGGGTCTCCACGGGATTCCTTGACGCCCAAGTTCATGGCAGCATTTTTCACAATGGCCAAGAGGTAGAAGCCACCCATGCCCACCGATGGATGAATGGGTACACAAAACGTGGTAAACTCATACAGTGGAACACACGCAGCCTTAAAGAGCAAGCTCACACCACGTGCAACCATATGAATGGGCCCAGGGCATTGTGCTAAGTGAAATAAGCCAGTTACAAAAACAGAAGCTGTGTGATTCCGCGTCTGAAATAATGAAACTCCGCTTCACAGAAGCAGGAAGAGCAGTGGTGCGAGGGACTGGGGAAGGGACCGGGGAGTCGCCATTTAAGGGGTATGGAGTGTCCGTTTTGTAAAATGAAGTCCTAGAGATCTGTTGCTCAGCAGTATGAATGTACATGACATGGCTGAACGGTAAAACATCAAAAATGACCTTGTTGGAGGAGGGTGGGCTTAGTCTGTGCTGAGAAGTAAAATTATAGTTGGAGTGAAAAAATAAATCAGCCTGGGCTGGGGTGGACCTGCACAGACCTGGGTGGGCTGCGTGGTGAGCAGCTGTGTGAGCCCCCAGCACGCTCGCCTCCTCACCCGGCTCCCTCCCCTGTCTCCGCAGGTACGCAGTGATCCGATTCAACCAGTACTTCAAAGTGAAGCCTCAGGTGTCCGCCTTGGAGATGCCAAAGTGACCGCACCTCCCTCCCTCCCCTCCCCCTCTGCCTGGCAGGCTGGTTCTGTACCCTCGGACGAGGTGGGAAGAGGGGACAGGTGGGTATCCGGGGAGGACACTGCCAGCCCCTCGTGGGCGCTGCTGGGACCACATTCTATTGTTTGGAGGGGCTGATGGACCTAGCTCTGGGGTTCCCCTTTACCTGGCCAGACCTGGAGAAGGGGGGGGGGGGGTGTGTGTGCATGCAGCAGCAGCCATAACTCAGACCACAGCCACCCCCGAGAGGCCAGCGTGCTCAGCCCCGGGCCAGGCCGGAGTCTGGGCTGCCTTAGAGGTGTCTTTGACCCCCCACCCCCACCCCCTGGCTTGGGGAGGGGGAAAGGTGGGAAGGTCCTTTCTACCTCCAGTGCCCTGAGCCTGCAGCCATCACCCACAGGCCCCAGGTGGGAGGTGTGGAGCCCAAACCAGCGCCATGCCAACTCTTGACAGGTGGATGTACTTAATGGGGGAAGGGGGCTCTCGAAGGGTTTGAGACCTTCCTAGCAACTGCCTCAACTGCAATCATTCTCCGAGCCAGATCCAATCAAATAGCCCTTCCCAAACCTCAGCCCAGGGCCTCGTCCTGTGCCCTCTGCTCTGTGCCGCCCCCTGCAGCCTGCTGGGAGGAAGGCCAGGGAACGCCACCAGAGCCTGGCTCTACTTCATGCCTTGGCTCAGCCGGAGGGGCCCGCAGCCTTGTTCCTGCCCCTGCCTCCCAGGCATCTGTCTCTCCATGGTTGCCCACTTGGGGTTGACCAGTGGGAGCCAAGGAGCAGGCGGGCCCAGGGCTCTCGGGGCAAGCTGGAGCCTGGGTCGGATCTGTCTGAAGGTGCTGACAGCATTGACTCGCCAGTCTCCACCTCCTTTCTGCCCTCACAGCCCCCCGGGCCCTCAATCTGGGCCATCAAGTGATTCATTTGTAAATTATCTTGATTTTTCTGCATTAAAAATGACCATTTCTGGATCACTCTGTGTCCGAGTGCAGCTGAGGAGGCTTTGACTGGAGAGTGTGGTTAATATGCCTGTGGTGGGGGGCAGTGGGGGTTCCAGCCCTGCTGGGGTCCCCTCAGGTGAGCCAGGGGTCCCATGCACTAGATGCACCTGGCTTGCCTGGCCCTGGCCCCTGGTTTGGGGGAGATCTGGTGGCTGCTGCCTTTGACCCTCTTGCTAGAGTCATGTGGCCCCAGGAGGATGCTGCTTGGAGGGGTTAGGCTGTGGACTCCTGGACTTGGTGGCTTTATCCAGAGGAACCAGTGGGACACTGAGGGGAAGTCCCGGGCTCCTACCGTGGTCTTCTGGCTCTGCTCACCCGAACCCATCTGTCCCTCTCAGACCCTCAGCAGGCTCGAGGGAAGGGAGGAGCTCCAGGTGAGCTGGGGTGCCCCTCTCAGATTGCTAGGGCTGCCCTCCCTAGACTGGGCAGCAGTGCCTCCAGGCACCCCCTCCCCCAAGATGCCCCATGCCCTTAGGGGCAGTATCGGCCCCGCCAGGTGGACTCTGGCTGTTTGGCTTTTGCCTGTAAAAGTACCAGGGTTCCATGGCAACTACTGAGCCATGCCTGGCCTGCAGCCGGAACTGCCTCCAAGGTCCCGGTGACCCACTGTGGGTGGGCCCCAGTGGGCACAGGACCGAGCCTAGGGGTGCCAGTGGTGCACGGGTGGTGCCAGGACTGGGCAGGCCTGAGGGTTCTCTGTGGGGGCCAGGTCATGGGGCAGCCTTCCTGTGGACTGAAGGGCAGTGCCCGCTTTTTGTTCCTCTCAGATCCTCCTCCGGAGCTGAGGGCAGGAACGACCCTCCTACCGGGCCTTGATGCCATAGTGTCGGATGGTGTTGCAGTGGTGAGCAGGGCATGGCTGGTCCAGGGACCCCCAGGTACCGTTCTGGCCCCTATGGGCAAGGTCACCACATTCAAAAGGGCGTTAACCTGCAGGCACTTCCTACTCCTTCTTTGGAAAAGCATCCTTATTCCTCAGTTCTCCAGGGACGAGGGCAGGTGGGGCAGAGTGGGTGAGAGTTTAGGTACATCCTCCATGAGCCTTGGAGTCCCACCATCACTGCAGACTGGCAGCACTGGGCTTTTTTAGACCCAGCAGGCACTGCGGACACAGCTTGCCTGGGCAGGATTCACCTGCTGGGCTCGGATCCTTGGCCTGGGCAGGGGGGAGGCGGAGACCTTGTAACCCAGCCTTCCTGGTAATGATTGAGGACACGCTGTTCTTGATTTTGCAACCAACCCACCTGCCCCCATCCTCCTCCTGGCAGGGGGCGAGGCTCCGGGGCACCAACACAGGCTCCAGGGAGGGAGGGCTTTTCCGGTCCCAAAACCATGCCAGTACGTGGCTGTCTCTGTAGCTCCAATGAGATTAGGACCCTGGTCTGCAAACTGCGGTCGGGAGCCACATGCGGCTCTTTGGCCCCGTGTGTGGCTCTTCCACAAAATACCGCAGCCTGGGCGAGTCTAGTTTGAAGAAGTGGCGTTAGGAGAAGTTTAAGTTTAGAAAATTTGGCTCTCAAAAGAAATGTCAATCGTTGTACCGTTGATATTTGGCTCTGTGGACTAAGGAGTTTGCCGACCACCGGGTTAGGACAAGGACTCCTGGTGTGGGAGGGAGCAATACTGGCCTCAGGTTCCGAGGCCAAGAGGACCCGGGAGTAGGGGTGCAGGAGGAACTCGGGGTGGCAGAGGGTGAGGGTGAGGATGAGCACAGCTGGGAGTGTCCTGCCCAGGCCCCCTGCGTTTGGTTGGAAGTGCACAGGGTGGTAATGAAGACTGGAGGGTCAGGTATAGATGGACAGAAGTTGAAATGAGCAACTCTCCCATGTGACCACTAGAGGGCAGGCGCTGCAACCAGCCAGGCTTCTCTGCCCCAGGACCACCTGCATCTCCTCAGCAGCCAGGGAAGCTGGGCTCTGCTGTGGAGAGACACAGGGTGGGGAGGGCCGAGGTGAGGCCTAATGGATAAACCAGGGTGGGATAAACCACCCCAGGTCAGGAGCCAGGATGACCCCTAGATCCAAAGGCCGCAGTGGCCGAGTGTTGAACTATGAACCAGCAGGTCCCCGTCCGATTCTGGAACCCCGTCAGGGGACATGCCCGGATTGTGAGCTGTCCTCAGTGAGGGGCCGTGCAGGAGACAGCCGATCAATTCTCATCACGGATGCTTCCATCTCCCCCTCCTTTCCTCTCTGGACCCTCATTGTTGGGGGTCTTCCAAGTCGTGGCCCTGGAATCAGCCACACTCAACTTCTCTCTCCAGCACCCTCTCCAGCTCAGAGTCCCTTTGCCCATCCAGGAGCCTCCGCTGGAACATTTCCCGTGCTGGGAGCTTCACCACCACTCTGAACATCTTTGTCACAAAGTTGTCTTTTACTCTCGGCCAAAATACTGGCCCTGGAGAAGCATCCAGAGGAGCTGCAGGTTGTTGGCATCTGACAAGGTTGAGGTAGTCTCACCCTTCATCTCTGTTAGCCAGGGTCCATGAGGGTCCCTCTGTCAGAGGGCCCGCCTCTGGCCCCTTCAGTGTGACCGCAGCCTTTCCTAGTGAGGGCCTAGGGCCGCCATGATGCATCTGGGGCCTGGCTGGCGGGGTGCACGCTGGCTCGTCTCCTCCCGTTTTGTGAGCACGTGCCTCTGTTACTCCAACCCAGATCTGAGACTCTCACAGCTCTGCTGCTCCCGTTCCGTATTAGCAGGATTGATTTTTAACGAGTCTTTTTATGGGTCCCTGTTCATGTCCATGCTGGGAGTTTTAATCTATCGTGTAGCCCTAAAACACATCTTCAGAGGTCCCAGGCTTTCACTGGGTTCTCAAAGGCGCCTCTAAAGGGGTAAGAACCAGGGATAAGGCTTAGCCTGCTTGTTTTTGGATGAGGACAATGAGGCCCAAAGGGGAATCCTGACAACAACCCCCACACCACACACACACACACACACACACACACACACACACACACACACACACACACACAGCCATGTGGCTAGTTGTGGGAGAACCCAAGCTTCCTGGCTCCTTACAGTGTTGTTTCACCTTCTGTCCTGGGCCTGGGAGGACCCTTTGTGGTGAGGTCTGGCTTTGGCTCTCCCCCTGGAGGCAAGGGCCGGGTTTCCCTCATTCAGTGCGCGCTGTGGGCTGGGGACAGGGTCAGGGAGTGGCAGGCAGGTAGGAATGGGATGGGAGGGGGGTGGAGTTGAGCCTCCGCCTGGAGGTCCCTCGAGCGGCCACGAGGGCATGGTGGTGCCCGAGCTGGTGGCACATTTAGGGTCCCCTGACTCGAGCCTGCCTTCCCCCTCCCTTGTGCAAGGGCCCGTGACTCTGAGACGGTCTGCCTTTATTACACCCACAGAAAACAAAAAACTGCCGAGTGTAAACAGGAGAATGTGCTGGTTAAGTTACTCATCATCTTATTATTAACAAAATAAAGCACTATGTTTACAGTCATAAAAAAAGAAACAGCCTGGAGAGGCGGGCTCTGGGGAGAAGATGGGGGTAGGCACAGACTCCACGCCTGCCCCTGTGGGACTTGGGGTCCCCTTCCTCCTCTGGCCCACCTGGGTCTTTGGAGTCATGCCGATGAGACTTAACTTCCTTAAGGAAATAACTTGTGATCGGGAGCAGAGTCAGGCCCCCGGTGCAGAGTGAGGGGCAGAGTGAGGGGCAGAGTGTGCACAGGGAGGGGTGGAGACCAGTGCCGAGGAGCCCGCTCTCCAGGCCTTCCGTCACTGACGGGAAGGGGGCACCACCCGCCCTCCTGCTCCCACTGCTGGCACTTGGGTGGGGCCAGGGTCTGGGCCAGGGGACCGAGCTCCTTGGAGGCCGAGCACATTCCCAGGCTGCTGGGAACTGACAGAGGCTGTGGGGACCCACCAGCAATCAGGGAGGGGGTGAACGGGCGGGCGGGGAGGCCAGGGGGGCCTAGGGTCCTTCGGAGACCCAGAGTGACCAGGGCAGAGCAGCAGTCAGACACCAAGGAGGGGGGGGAGGGGGGGAGGGAGAGAAGAAGGGGGGGGAGGGAGAGGGAAGGAGGAAGGGAGGGAGGGAGACAGGGCCCTGCAGAGACAAGGACAGAAACGCACACGAGGAGGCACAGAACCTGAGACACCCAGACTGACAGAGGTAGCCATGTGGGGACAGAGAGAGCTCAGAAAGAGGTCCCCAGAGAAGCCAGACAGCATCCGGGGACACAAAGGAACTCAGCAACAGTGCCTGGCACACAGTGGGCACTCAATAAATAGGCAGTGAACGACGGGTGAACACGCGTGCGCACACACGTGCACGCACACAGCAGCCAGAGGCACACAGGGCTTGGCGGCGCTAAGACAGAGGGACAGCCAGGCCTTTTTGCGCCGAGTACAAAGCGATCCCGGTGAGACAGGAGCCGTGTGCGCATGTGGAGGGGATTGGGGGGGGGGGGGGGGGTTGTCCCATGGTGGCTGGGCCCGCCAGGACAAGAATGGGAACAAAGCGTGTGGCTCCCGGGAGATGGGTCTGAAGCTGCCAATCCCCCAGCAGGGGAGACCTGCAGGAGGAGAGGGTCATACAGTGTCCCCTGGCCATGAGCCCCCAAGACCCAGCTCAGCCATGTAGCCATGCCTGCAGGCGTGGTGGGGAGGGGGCCTGCGTCTCCAGGGACACAGCTGTGCCCTCTCCCAGCCTCCCAAGCCCAAGTACCAACAGAGTCCAGACGAGCCGGCTGCGCCCCCTGCCGAGGCCGTCTCCCCGGGTCAGTCCGTGAGCACCACCAGCTCCCCGTCGCTCTTCTCCTCGCCCTCCGAGTCCTCGTCCTCGCTGTACCGGTACATCTCCCCGTCGGCCACCGAGTGCCGGTCCTCCGGGGCCTCAGCCTCCTCTCGAAGGCTGCAGGTGTTCACGATGACGGGCATGCTGGGGTCCAGGCCTCGGGGCACGTAGTGCTCCACCGAGGGCGCTGCCACCCGCGGGTACAGCACTTCCGGGGCGCTCATCTGCATCTGGTCTGCCTGCGAGCTTCAGGGCGGACAAGAGGGGTTACTCAGCACCTTCCCCTCCCCGCCCCCGCTCCCCTCCCGGCCTCCTCCAGCCAGGCCCCCCCCCCCCCCTCTCTCTCTCTCTCTCTCTCTCTCACACACACACACCCGCCCTCCCCTGTCTGACGCCACATGCACTGTCAGCGACAGCCCCGCACGCACAGGTGGTCTCAGGGTCACAGATATGTCCAAGAGATGTTCCCGGAGGACTGTGCATGAATCCCAGTTGCGGAAACTGTGTGTTTAAATGCTTGCTTTGGTCAAGTCAGGAATGGTACCCCAGACGTTTTACTGAGTTTGTCGGAAATGGGGTCCACAGGCACGTTTCTCCAGGTGCATGCCAGCCCCCCACCCACTCACCAATGTCTATCCTGGGCCACTAGGCACCCACCACACACAGCTGCCCCTGCAGCCACACACGGAGCCCCAGCCACACACACACGATGCTCACACACACCTATGCGCACATATATGCACACAGCCAACAGGCAGGCACACGCAGTCACAAAGGCAAGTCACATATCAACACCCACACACACACACACACACCACACACCACCGGGGGTAGGGCTGCTCACGGCGGCAGGTAGCTCTGGCGGGCGTCCTGGCGCCGGGTCCGCATCAGGGCCTTGTACTCGCCCACCCGCAGCCGCTTGCCCTCCACGATGCAGGTGCGCTTGGGCCTCGGCTTGTACTTGTAGTCCGGGTACTTCTCCAGGTGCTGCCGGCTCAGCCGCGCCTGCTCCTCGTAGTAGGGCTGCTTCTCCTGGTTGGTCATGGACTTCCAGCGGGAGCCTGGCCCCGCCCCGGGGCAGGCAGGCAGTCAGCGCTGGCTCTGCCCGCCACCCCCAGCCCCCTGCAGGCCCTGGAGGCACCGAGAAGGTTTTCACTCCCAGAGAGGTGCAAAAGCAATTAGCCGGGCCCCTTGGATGTCAGGCAAAATGAATGAATGAAGTTGGCACGTATATACTGTCCGTGTTACGATACAGCACCCACACACATTCCTAACTACCCACCCAGCAACTTCTTGGAGGCCTCTTGTCTGCACGATTTGCACAAACAAAAGAGCAGCTGCCGCAGGCCCCCAATAAAACGCTTCCCGCTCAGGACAGAGTGTCCGGTGTCTGCGCTCACAGACCGGCACAGACACGGAAGGAGCCTTGGTCTTAAAAACCACTGCCCTGCCGGCACCGGTTTGGCTCAGTGGTAGAGCGTCGGTCTGCAGACTGAAGGGTCCCGGGTTCGATTCCGGTCAAGGGCCTGTACCTTGGTTGCGGGCACATCCCCAGTGGGGGGTGTGCAAGAGGCAGCTGGTCGATGATTCTCTCTCATCGACGTTTCTAGCCCTCTATCCCTCTCTCTTCCTCTCTGTGAAAAATCAATAAAAATATATTTTAAAAAAAAACCCACTGCCCTCTTCTCGCCTCACCCGCCCCACCCTACACCCCACCGTGGCCTCCAATCAGGAAACCTCACTTAAAGCTTTCTACTGCCCAGCCGGTGTGGCTCAGTGGTTGAGCATCAACCTATGAACCAGGAGATCACGGCTCGATTCCCAGCCAGGACACATGCCCGGGCTACGGACTCGATCCCCAGGAGGGGGTGTGCAGGAGGCAGCCAATCGATGGTTGTTTCTCATCACGGATGTTTCTATCTCCCTCTCCCGTCCTCTCTCTGAAATCAATTAAAAAAAACAACTTTCAAAAAATGGTATAAGACCCCAGGGCCCAGCTCTCCTACATCCTGCTCGCCTCCCACACCCCATCAGACTTCTCCAGAGTTCAACATGGATGGTGTGGACTGTCACCAAGCAAGCCCCACACGGACCCCAGAGGCCCCTGCAACCTCATCCCGCCTTACCGAGGATCTTGCTGATGCTGGAGTTGTGCATGTCCGGGAAGGCCTGCAGGATCTTCCTGCGCTCGTCCTTGGCCCACACCATGAAGGCGTTCATGGGCCGCTTGATGTGGCTGCTGTTGCGGGACTCGGGAAAGTGGCGGGAGCCTGGGGGACAGGGGCGGGGTCAGCAGGGCGGCAGGAATAGGGGAGGGCTGTCTGTCGGGCCAGCGGAAAGAACACCCCAGGGTTAACCACTAGGGCGCGCCAGGGACCCCCACAGCGCCCAGGGGTGGCCAGCAGCAAGATGCCGGCAGAGGCCGGGCCAGGGGCCAGGGGCCCAAGGATGGACAGATACATACGGGACTCCACAGACATGACCTGCCCGCTCTGACCCTGGTAGGCCCTCCTGCCCTCACCGTCCACGTCACAGCCCAGCATGGCTTCCTCCAGGGGATGCACACAGCTCTCCTCCAGTCGCTCCTTCACTGGGGACATGTCCAGGCTGATGAGGTCCTGGGGTTGACGGACAACCTGTACATCAGCCTCTCTCTGTCACCCCGCTTCCCGCCTCCGCCCCCCCACCTCTCCCTTTGGTGGCCTCCAACCCTGTCTTCCCCCGCCCCCTGCCCCCATTGGTTCCCTGCTCCCGAGCACGGGGGAGCGGGCTTTACCTTCCGGAAGGGCGGGTTGGGGGAGCTGTCCAAGGCCCCGCTGTGGCTGTGCAGCAGCTGCCGAGCATCCTGGATGGCCTTGGTGACCGCGTCCCCTTCGCCGAGGAAGCCTGCGGGGCAGGAAAGAAGGGACAAGAGAAAGGTGTTGAGGGGTCGTCCCCATGCCACGCCCCGTCCTGTGCTCCCTCGGGCCCCTTCCCAGGGCTGTTGCACTGCACATCCTCAAGGGGGTGCCATTTACCCGAGCTGTCGTGTCAGCAGACTGGAAATAAGGATAGTACGCCTCAAAAACTGTGCAACCCCAAGGGCCTGAACCCCCTGAGGCCAGGGTGCCAGGAGGATATGGTGGGGGTGGGGGAAACCTAGAGGGGAAAGGTCATTCCCAAGGTCCTATCACACTCCCTATCGCCCCTGACGGGGCTGAGGGAAAGTACCAGAGGTAGGAAGCTTACCCAGAGGCAGGCTGGGGGGGCTGGACTGCAGGTCCCGCGTGGGAGCCCCGTGGCTGGGGGGGCGGGGCCCACAGTTGCTCATCTTCAGGCTGGGGGAGCTCGAGGTGTTGGGCAGCTCAAGGACCTTGGGCTTGGCCGTGAGGTTCAGGGGCTGGGAGGGTTCCTACAGGAGACCCAGAGGCAGAGGGTGAGAGACACCCAGGGAGGCCCCGCAGGGAGAGAGGATGAGCATGCCCAGGACAGCCACAGCGGCGGCCAACCCGCCAGCCCGCCCGCCCAGCGAGGGAGTGGGCAGCACAGTACCTGCAGCGGGTGGTGGGCGGCCATGGCCCCCGGCCTCTTCACAGCCGGGGCTTGGGGGCTGTGCAGCAGCTGGAGCGGGTACTCCACTGTGGAAAGGCGGCAAGGAGAGAGGTCCCGGATGAGCACAGGACAGCGTGGCGAGATCCCAGCAGCACCACGCGCACGAGGCTCGGAGCCAGCCCTGGTTGCTTCTAACCACTGCGCCCCCAGCCCCGAGGTGCTGCGAAGGGGGACCTCCTGGGCCCTCCCCCCACCGCCTGCTCGCCCACAGGCATCACCACCTGTCCTGCCCTTCCCAGCCACAGGGCCTGGGTTCCCAGCCTATGGTGAAAAGAGAGCAGAACAACCATCTACTCACTCTACAGACTCTTGTATGTTGGACCTACTGTGTGCAGGGTACAAAAGCAGCCACCTGTCATGTAGCCTGTCTCCTGTGCTTATCTCACAGTAATCCTTACTGAGTCTATAATCGGTGCTCAATGCTTCGTCCCATGTTACAGAGGACGACACTGAGACCTGGAGGAGTTACATGGGCTGCCCACATAATCGACGGGAGCACCGACATGTGAACCCGGGTTCCCAGTCTCTCCCCTCTGCATGGCACTCTCTTCTTCTTCATCCACCTCAGCCTCCTTAGCCAGGCCCAGAAGCAAGGAGTGCACAGTTCAGATGGAGGGGTGGAGCAGGCTGCTTGGGGGCACTGAGACGTGAGCTGACCCTGGCAGGTGCACAGGGGAGCCGAAGTGGTGGTGTATGAGACCAGGATGTGGGCAGTGAGACGGGCACAGGGTGGGCAAGGTGGGCTTGGGAAGGCTTAGCTCTGGAGCTTGGACCCCAGGCTATAGGCGACCGGGCTTTAGGAAGGGGCATGTGTCGGCCTGCAAACCCCCTGCTTACTACAATTCTGGAGCAAACGAGGCAGGTGGCAACCTGGCCATCCAGGTCTCCCTCAGCTTATTTCACGCCTCCCTTGTCCACAAAGTATGTGGCCCCTCCCCCGAGCAGGCCCCTGCCCTCCTCACCCCTGCAGCTCTGCTCTGCTCACCTGGAATTGCCTTGGTTAGTGCTGCTGCCCTCCCCTCCCCCTCTCCCCTTCCAGCCGCCCCACAGCCCACTGGAATCTCCCCTCACGGCGGGGTTAGGGGGCTGACGGGGCTGTGCCATGGCCAGAGGCATGGTGGGGAACCTGTCCGACTCCCCGAAACAGGGGGAGGAGGTGCCGTAAAAGCTACTCCCCTTCCTGGGGCCATTACAGGCAGCGCTTCTGCCCTGACCACGACCACCCGCAAGCAATCCTAACCCTAATCCAAACCCTAACCCTAAACCCTAAACCCTAACCCTAACCCTAACCCTAACCCTAATGCTTCTGTCTCTGCCTCTGTCCCACTGTCACGGCCCTCCTTCAGGCTGTCACCTGCTAGTGCTGGAGTCCCCTCAGCAGCCGCCTACCGGGTGGTGTTCTACCTTCAGGCAGCCCCCTCCATCCCGTCCCCCTCAGCCAGCACAACAACACATCCTCCAAAGGTTCAAGCACACCCCACAGCCTGCAGAACAGAGCCCAGCTCCACACTCTGTCCCCTCTGCCCTCCCAGCACGTCCCACCACCCAGGCACACGCCCCTCAGTTCCTACGCCTCTCCCGTTCCCTCCACCCTCAGCCCCACTCCACTCTCACAAGTTCACTCTCCCAGGACCCAGGCAAGCGCCAGCTCCTCCAGACACGGTCCCAGATCCCCTGGTTCCCAGCAAACTTCTCCCTCCTTCCCATCCTCCCCAGACTGAACTCCTGGAGCTGCATGCAAGTCCACGCCGTGTCCCCCGTGGCCACCCCACAGCTACACGGTGTGTGAGCGGTCGGGGTGTCTCAGGGACAGGGCAGAGCGCGAGCTTGCCGAGGCCAGGCGAGAACAGAAGCATCCATTTGGGACACGGATGTGGATGGAGGGCTCCGAGTAAACGTTGGAAATACTAACATTCTGGTACCGTAACTGGAACAGAGCTGGGGAGACTAGGCCAAGATTTGCTCCGTGTGGAAGGCACTGTGGTCGCCAGTGTGCTAGTGTTCCTTCTCCCAGTGACATTCACAAACAAGGGTTCTCCTTCCCCTGGGCGAGGCCCAGAAAGCCTACACCGCTGGTTACTGGGGGAGCGTGGTCCGGGCCTCCCCCTCCCCTCAGGGACTCCCCTCCACACTCACCTGGTTTGCAGGGGATTGGCTGGATGGGCAAAGCCAGCTGCGAGTCCGGCGTGACAGGAAGGGGTTGGTGGCTCGGGGGGAAGGCTGGGATCATGACGTAAGGCATGTTGACCTGCTGAGAGCAAAGAAACCCTGTGTGAGTGCCCCCAGGGCCCCAACTGCTGGCTGGCCCTGGACAGAGGGCAGGCTTGGGGATGAGAGGCGCGGGGCCTGGGGCAGGGACCATCTTCCGAAGGATCTATCTGACCCCATGCTACTTTCCGTGGGCTGTCTGCCTGCCCTCAGGTCCCAGCTGGGAGGAGGAAGCCGGGGGAGGGGAGGGGAGCAGGACTGAGCCCCTTCCTCAGGGGCACGTCTGAATGATCCCGCCTGCCCCTGGGTGCCAAGCCCCCCTCCCAGCAGGTGCCAGCCCCTCAGCTCCAGCACCCCACCCCCCAGCCCGCCCCTCCCATACCTGGATCTGCTGCTGAAGGACGTTGATTTTGTGCTGCTGCTGGATTAGCTGTTGCTGCTGCTTAGCGATCTGGCAGAGGGGAGAGGAGGCAAAGGGGGCGTGGGCTTGGGCCCTGGGTCCCACCTCCCAGATCCTTCTAGGCCCCACTACACCCAGCCTCCCAGGAGCCGACTGGGAGGACAGCTGAGCCGGCAAGAAGCAGAACAGCCAACGCACAGCATTGATTCTCCTTTTGCTGGGAGCTCTACCTTCCCTCAGAGGCCAGGGATGGAAGCCGGGCAGGACCCTTCAGCATCCCCTGCCCCCGACACCCCCTCCTGCCTACCCCTTGGGGGCCACACCGGCAAAGCCTGCCCCCAAAGTGCTCCCCTCCAGGCCCTGAGGGTCCCGCCCCCTGGGAAGAGAGCCACACCGAGACAGCCTACCTGCTCCTGCTGCTGCCGGGCCAGCTCCATCTGCTGCTGCTGCTTCTCGAACAGCATGGCCGCCATGTTCTTCTGCTCCGAGTGGGCGGTCAGGAGCTGGTCCCGCAGGGTGGACAGCTGATGGATCATGACCAGCAGCTGGAGCTCCTTCTCGGCCAGGCTCTCCTGGGTCCCTGTTCCGAGGGAAGCGGTGCTGTTGGTCACCTGTCTACACCCATCGCCTGATACGTAGGAAACAATTATGCAGCCTCAGGCCTGAGAGGGGTGACGGAGGCGGCGGACACAGGAGCCCTGCCCCCGAGGGGCTCCGTATCGTGCTGTCGGACAACCAGCTGCCCCTGGAAATGCTGACGGTAGGGCATCTGGGCCCTGCCCACCCCTTGGACATCCTCAAGTGCCCGGGGCCACAGGGTCAGGGTGCACAACCATCCCCCAAACGTGGCTCAGCGGACATGCTCAGACTCTGGAGCAAGACAGACCAGGGGACAAATCCCCCAGCAGCCATTGTGCCCGGGAGCTGCGGGCAAGATACCAACTTCTCGGCGCTTGAGTTTTTTAATCTACAAGTGAGCACACAGGGTTGAAGGATAAGGAAGGCAAAAGGTGTAGCCCAGGATCTGGCAACTGACACCTGTTAGTGCTCCCCTGCCCTCCAATTATTGCCACGCAGATGCCGAAGTGTCAGGCCAAGGCCCTGAGTCTCGGAATTACTCTTCTATAAAAATCAATAAAATTGCCAAAACCAGTTTGGCTCAGCGGATAGAGCGTCAGCCTGCGGACCGAAAGGTCCCAGGTTCGATTCCGGCCAAGGGCATGTACCTTGGTTGCGGGCACATCCACAGTAGTGGGTGTGCAAGAGGCAGCTGATCGATGATTCTCTCTCATCGATGTTTCTAACGCTCTATCCCTCTCTCTTCCTCTCTGTAAAAAATCAATAAAATATATATTTTTTTTAAATTAAAAATCAATAAAATATATTTAAAAAAACGAAGAAGGAAGGAAGGAAGGAAGGAAGGAAGGAAGGAAGGAAGGAAGGAAGGAAGGAAGGAAGGAAGGAAGAAAAGGAATGTTCGGGTCAGTTTATCGTTAGACCTGGGAAGTGGCAAGGGTCCCTGCTGGAGCCCGAAGCCATACCCATGAGACTCACTTCCCGCCAGGCCTGTCCCGCCTGGGAGTGAGCAGACCTCCCGCTGGGGCCCAGGTGTGTGCTGCCCGGAGGCAGGCAGGAGCGGGTGGCACAGGCCAGCTCTGAGACACAAAGAGCCCCGAGAACTGTCCTGCCGGCCCAGACTGCATGGCCAGGCTGGGAGGAGGGGCAGGGTTCAGCCACTCCTCCCCGGCCCGCCCCCGTGGCCTTCACCTTTGACATCCTTTGTTTCCACGGAGCTTCTTCCCAGAAACCTCTCCTTCCAGTCACTGGACAGCAGCTTCTCGATGGCCGGCACCACTGGAAGACAGTGAAGGCGTGAGGACCACGCTGGCCCCACACCGCCCGCCCCAGCCCCAACTCTAATAAGCAAGCGCTTACCCTCCTTTAAATTCCGGTTGAAGTCCAGCTTCTCCTGGCTCCCAGAAGCAGCCTCCGCGTCGCCCGGTCTCTTGGGATCGGGGGACACATTGCTCTCTGGCGAGCTGCAATCCTGTAGGGCACACCGGATGCCCCTGTCACCTCCAGGAAAAGGGGGCCGGCTGTAGCCAGGGCCCAGCACCCCGGGGATGTCCCCTGTAGGGCCCTCTCTCCCTCCACCTTCCCTACCTCTGCTCTGATTTGCCTGATTTCCTAAAGAGAATAAGAGGCTTAAAGACAAGCCACCAGGCTGGATCCAGGCTGTGACTCAGGTCCTGCCTGGATCTCACAGGAGTCCCTGAACTTCTCTGAACCTGCCCCGGCCTCTGCTGAGAACGGAAACTCGCCCGTCCCGGGACTGTGCTGGGATAAAGGGAGCGATGCCCGTGGCCAACAGCCAGCGTGCTCCTCCCTTGCACGTACATACCCACCGCTCCACCCAGGTGGGTTACCCCGAGGGCCCCCCCACCCCACCTCGCCCACCCACTGCAGACGGATCACGAGAATTCTCGTGTTTTCTGTTCTGGGGCTTGCAGTCTATCACGAGACTTCTTTTAAATGGGATTAGCTTGTAAGAACATGTAATAAATAACCTCAGAAGGCAATGGGTATTAAATTGTAAAGTGTGCCCTCTAACATTTATGTAGAACGTTTTGGGTACCTCGTTCGACAGAAATCTATCAGGCCACTGGGTAAAGCTGGCAATACAGCTACTGGTCCGCAATATGTTGGGACACTGACCCCTCTTGTCCTCTGACTCCTCTCCTCTGAGATCCAGCTTCAGGCCCCCTCCTCCAGGAAGTCTTCCCTGATCACCATCCAGCCTCCTAACCTGCTCCCACACACGCCTCCAGGCTGGACCCTGCTAAGCACTCTGCAGCCCTCCTACTTCCTCCTCACCTGGCTTTTAATTGTATATTTATTCCCTTTTTACGTCTTTTACATGGAATCACAGCATTTCTATGCGCTGCGAGAATCCTTACTGCTCCTGTAGTTCAGCGCCTTCATTTTAAGGAGAGGCACTGGATTGTCCTAATGGCAACTTAACCCTGGCTGTGGTAATAAGACTGACTTTCTTAAATCAGATGAGAAAGCTGGTGGGACTGCCTCTAAGCCAGTGTTTCCCAAACTTCTCTCATGCTGAGAATCACCTGGTGGAGTTGTTAAACTACAGATTCCTGAATCCCAACTAAGAAGTGCTAAACTAGGATGTTTGGGTACATATAGGTAAAATTGTCTACTTAATACAATTTTACCTAAATATTTCCAAAAATTCTAGTTTAGAGCACTAGTTCCCAAAATTTCCCTAAGCTTAGAGCACTAGTTAAGTACACAATTTTACCTATATGTTCCCCATAATTCTAGTTTAGCACTTCTTAGTTGGGATTCAGGAATCTGTAGTTTAACAACTCCACCAGGTGATTCTCATCATGAGAGAAGTTTGGGAAACACTGCTCTAAGCTAAACTTTTTGAGTATAAGCATCCTTTCCTCCCAACTAGTCCTCGGGGGAAGGCCTGCTCACACAGGTGAGCGTCAGTACCAGGCGAGCAAGCGCAGGTGTGAGTCCACGTCCACGCGGACAGGAGGCCCCAATGAACGTGGCCGCTCCTCCCCACTCACCTAAGTCTTGCCCCAGAGCTGACAATGTCTGCCTGCCCCTCCATCCAGCTGGGGGGCTGGGGGCGGGGAGGGGTGGGGTGCGTGGATGTGGTGGGGACAAGGAGCCCCTGGGAAAGCGCTGGGCACCTGGGCTGGAGCTCGGGGGTCAGCAGCATCCTGGGCGGCTCGGGCCGGGTCTCCGGGCTGGGGGTCAGCCGTGGCAGCCGGGCCCGGGGGGGCCTCGGGGCAGGGCTCCTTCTTCCCCTCAGACTTGAGGGCGCAGTTCACCATGGCGCCTCCGCCATCCGGGGCCAGCTGGGCAGAGCCGGGGCTCCTCATGGACATCCTGAGGGAGGAGGGCAGCGTGAGCGAGGTGCGTCCCGAGACCCGGGGCAGCGCTCCTCCCCCGCCCCCAGCCCCACACAGGCACCACACCAGACGGAAGCTCCCCCTGGGGGCCGCCAGTGTATACGCATTTGTGATGTTACCAAAATTCAAAAATCAGTAAGTTATCACATAAAAATCTGGATTTGGCCGAAACAAGTTTGGCTCAGTGGATAGAGCATCAGCCTGCAGACTGAAAGGTCCCAGGTTCGATTCCAGTCAAGGGCATGTACTTTGGTTGCGGGCACATCCCCAGTGCGGGGTGTGCAGGAGGCAGCTGATCGATGTTTCTCTCTCATTGATGTTTCTAACTATCTCTCTCCCTTCCTATCTATAAAAAAATCAATAAAATATATATTAAAAAAGAAATCTGGATTTGAACTTCAGTGGCAACAACTGGCTGGAAATGAGGTACCCCCATGGACAGGCCAGTCTGCCTTCCTCCCCACCACTCCCTACCACCCCCCAAAAGGGAAACCAGGTATCGGCTACCCTATATAATAGTTATCCTTTGCTTTCCTTAGAGTAGAAATGACAAGACAGAACTGTTTCACATATCCACGTGTCTACCAAAAGTGGGAAGATAACAGGCTGAGAGTGGATGAAGGGCTGTAAGAAAACATGTCCTGCCAAAACCGGTGTGGGTCAATGGATAGAGCATCGGCCTGCGGACTGAAAGGTCCCAGGTTCGATTCCGGTCAAGGGCATGTACCTTGGTTGAGGACACATCATCAGTAAGGGGATGTGCAAGAGGCAGCTGATCGATGTTTCTCTCTCATCAATGTTTCTAGCTCTCTATCCCTCTCCCTTCCTCTCTGTAAAAACAAAATGAAATATATATATTTTTTAATTATAAAAAAAGAACATTTATTATTAAAAAAAAAAAAAACTCAATAAAATATATTAAAGAAAAGAAAACATGTCCTTTTCGGTAGCGACAGTCTCAGTAAGAGCCGGCCCAGCAGGAACCTGCAATTCCTGGTTTAGTACTCTGAGCCCACAGCCGCCTCCCCCTTCCCCCCCATGTCCCCTCCAGAGGAGCAGGGCAGTCACAGGGTCCCGGGGGAGGGGGGGGCAGTTTCCAGGGGCCATGCCAGGCTCAGGGTGAGAGAGGCAGGCAGGTGCCCACGGCTCCCCTGCTCACCTCCACAGTCACCGAGATGAGGCCAGCGGGGCCCCACCACAGGTTCCACCAAGTAATGCCTGGGTCCTGCCTCGGACACTCAGCTAGCTGCTGAGTGACCTCGAGGGAGTTACTTAGCCTCTCCACATCTCAGTCTCCTCATCTGTAAAATGGGCTGCGAACTGTTACCTGTGCAGTGTCTGGACACTACGGGCAGCAGTAGGCGCCGATGTGGATTACACCATGGCCAACTGGGAAGCAGCACAAGGAGAACCACCTGGGCAGATGCCAGGAGGCTGGAGAGGTAAAGTCCCTCTCACATCAGACGCTCTGTGGGTGGGGCTCTGTGGGTGGGGCGGGGACCTGTTTTAACAGGCCCTTCAGGTGGTTCTGGAACATACTATTTGAGAAGCACTGTTAAGTAAAATTGTTTTTATGTGGGCATTCATTTTTTTAGGAGGGGAGCGCCAGGCAGAAATCGGATGTAGTAAAACATCCCTTAATTAAGCTGCAGGTGCACTGTATTTGCATGTCGCATCAACTCCATGCAACTCCGTGTTTCTCATGATCTGGAACACGTGACGGAATGTGCCGCGTAAACACACTAAGTGAGCGGAAAGGCCTTACAGCTGCGTAAGATGTATGTGATTTGGTGCCATCCTACAGGCCAGCCCCGACCCTGCTGCCGCTTTCAGAGGGCAGGTGCCCTGAGGCTGGGGCAGGGGGGACCCAGGACAGGGCGCTGCAGGGTGAAGAGGGGCATGCCAGCCCAGGAGCCACGGCCACTACCAGCTCACCAGGGCTCTGGGGTCCAGCTCCAGGTGCCCTCCCACCAGCTGGGACCTGGAGAGCATCCAGGAAGTGGGCGGCTCGGCCCATCCGGGCACAGGGAGGGGCGCCGAGCCAGGTCCAAGCAGGCGGGTGGGGGAAGGGGGGAGAAGGGGGTATTATCCTGAAGCCGAGGGCAGCAATTACATAACAAACAAACCTCGGCTCAAGCTGTGAATTAATCAAACCACTGAAAATAAAACCTTCCTCTCAGGAACTTCAGACAAAAGAAATGAAAACAACCAGGCAGGCTGGGAAATAAAAGGCAGCGACACTGAAAAGGGGACAAAAGGAAGCCAGACAATAGGGTGTTGGACAAAGGCAATAAAGCCAAAGGAAGTGTGACAGGCGAACAATGGGGCCTGTGGGCCCTGATCCCGCCCGCCACCTCGGTCCACACCCACATTCTGCCGGTCTTGGCCCAGGCAGGGCAGGGCAGGGCAGGCCAGGCTGGTGACCGGGTCGCCCCCTTCTCCGGACTTGGGTCCTAAGAGCCTTTCTCCTCCATTCAGTCCCAACTTCGTGGCCTTTCGCCAAGCCTTTCTTCCCAGGGCAGCCAAGACCCACGCAGCAACGGTGGTTAGCAGAGCGGGTCCGAGGCCTCGAGGCCTGGGTGGGACTGGGTGCCACCTCCCCAGAGCCAGATGCTGACCATCTGCCTGTCCCCAGAGCCAGATGCTGACCCCAGCTGAAGTGGAAGCAGGGGAGAGGATTCTCAGTCTGAGTTAACCCACAAGGCTACTGAGAACGTACACCTGCCCAGTCCCAGTGGCTCCATGTGAAATACACCTGGATTTTCAGGCGTTGGCCCTGGTGAGCTGACACGTTAAAGGAAACACCTGGGGGTCCACCCACTTGCTTCTCCATCGGGCCACTAGAGGATGTACTGACTCGTGTGGCTGACACTCCATCTCCGTGGGCAGTGCTGCCCTCGGACACGTCCCTCCTTCCTCTCTGGCCTTTTCCGCCCACATCTCGCCCTCAGAGTCCTCCGTGGGCCCTGTGATTTTCTGTCTCTGGGGGAGCCCGTCTCCTGGAGCTCCCCGCCCCACCGCCCACCCGGCTCAGCCCGGCCTCTAGCCCAGCATCTGGTAACAAAGAAAATGGCTCCTGGTGCCCAGCCAAGCTGGCTGGGAAGCGTCCGTCTGTTCCCCAGGCCGGGGTGCCCACCAGTAACCCTGCCAGAGCCTGCTGCCCAGACAATGGCCCTTCACCCCCGGCCTCACCCCCGACACCGGGTCCTGGTTCTCGGCTGGTGCTCCCTGAGCCCAGGGGCTGACGGATCCTCCCGGGAGGCACCTCCCAGTCCCAGCTTTGGGGAAGAAGGTCCCTGGGCCCCTCTTTTCCTTCCTCTGCCCCCCGCGAAGCACAGGCCCTACCTCCCCAGCTCTTTGGGAATGCAGAGCCCAAGTCATGTGTGATGAACTAGACAAGGGACACCCCGCCGCGGACGGTCCCTGCCCAGGCTGTGTTACCTCTGCGGTCTCTGAAAACAGGAAACCCAGGGTGGGGGTGGGATAGAGTGGTAAACGCACAGGTTTGGGGTTCAGATTCCTGCCCTCCTGCCAGCTGACGTGTGTGACCTTGGACAAGTTAAGTCACCTCTGAACCTCTGCCTCCTCGACCACAGACTGGGTATAAGGACGCAGATTGGCCCGATCCGTTTGGCCCAGTGGACAGAGTGACTGAAGGGTCCCAGGGTTTGATTCTGGTCAAGGCCTCGTATCTCGGTGGCAGGCTCCTCCCAGCCTGGGCCCTGGTCAGTGCGCGTGGAAGCAACCAAAATCGATGTTGTTTCTCTCACATCGATGTTTCTCTGTCTCTCCCTCTCCCTTTCACTCTCTATAAATATCAATAGAAAAATATCCTTGGGTGAGGATTAAAAATAAAAGAGCCTGGACAGCACAGGAGCCCATGAAGATGGAATGATACAGGGTGAGCATCCATTAAGTTGTCTTACAGCTCAGGATGCAGAAAAGCCTGTGGGTCACACAGACCTGAGAGCATATGAAACCCAATTCTGCCCAATGAATTGCTGTGCAACTTTGAGCCAGTGCCTTAACTTCTCTGAGCTGGTTTCCTCCTCAGTAAAATGGAAATTTAAAAGCCCACCATGAAGAGATGAGCCTTCCACTAAGGCTCCAGACCCTGTAATATATACCCGTTTTTTACACTCTCGCGGCACCCTGAATTTGGTGTTCAACGTACTTCCATGCTTAATTTATTCCTGCCTCACCCACTCACCCCCACTCAGGGGCCCCGGGATCTAGCCCGGTGCCTGGAGCAGAGAGGAGGTGCTCAGTAAGTATGCGTGCAGCCATCGGAACGTATCCTGCAGCTCAGCAGCATAGTGAGGCGGACCTGGATGCCTCACAAGTGACAGCTACAATTACCCTCATTACCAGGCAGATGCCGCTCCGGCTTCCCTCCCACGGCCCTGCCGCCCACACCGTTATCCTCAGCTGCCTCTTCTCCTTGCATCTGAGATCTTCCTGTGAGTGACCTGAATCCCCCAGCCCAGAGCGAGTCCAGCTCCTTTTGTTTTCACCTCGGGACAGGTGAGAACAATTCTCGTAACTTTCAGATCTAAAAACCCTGTGGGAGCCTTCCCTACAGAGGCTAAAAACCCCTCAAATTCCTTCACCCCTTTCTTTTAAAAAATATATTTTTTAATTAATTAATTTTTTTTTTTTTAACAGAGAGGAAGGGACAGGGATAGAGAGTTAGAAACATCGATGAGAGAGAATCATCGATCAGCTGCCTCCCGCACACTCCCTACTGGGGATGTACCCACAACCCAGGCACATGCCCTTGATCGGAATTGGACCTGGGACCCTTCAGTCCGCAGGCCGATGCTCTCTATCCACTGAGCCAAAGCGGTTAGGGCCCTTCACCCCTTTCTTACCAAGCGTGCTCCCCGCCTCACCCATGCACGTGGATCCACAGGAGGTTGTAAGCTCAGCAGCCACACACCCGTCTCCCCAGCCACCCAGGAGCCCAGGGGCTCAGC